AGAGGTAAGGGTTAAAATCTATTATGGAGTTAAACTGTTAGGACTTACACTTGATAGCACTGTTCAACTTTTCATTTTGAAAAATACACATCAAAATGCCTTTAACCTGTATTAGGCACTTATTATTTTTCTAATAGATGCTTCATAAAGTTTAAAATAATCTAAGATAAGAAAATGCCACACCCTGAACAATAGGATACCTTAAATTTGTAATATACAGCAAGTATTCAAATTACCACATAAAATTTAGGGTTAAGGAAAGCATTCATATTGAATAGCAATCTACCTTTATTATTATAAAGGACAGACATGGTTGACAGTTTTATTACTAAGAAATAATAACTATCACTCCCTACTTTAAAACATAATTACCAGTATTTGAAATCTTTTCAGAGCAGGCAGTGCCCGCATTTCCTGGGGCAACCAACACTTGTTTGACATGATGAGACTGTGCAAGTTTCCAGGCCAATGTATGTTCTCTTCCTCCACTGCCAATTATAAGTACTCGGGCTGCCATTGCTGTCTGTAAAGCAGAAATTCAAAAGGAAAAAAAAAAAAAACCTGCAGAAAGAAAACCACAGTTTAGAATGTACATATTTTAGAAATCATGATTTCTAAATATGATTTAAGTAATCATTTGTACTCATACAAATGACATTTTCATCTGGCAATTCATTTTTGAAAAATCAGGAATCATAATTTGAGTAATATATGACTGTAGTCATAATTGAGTAAGGGAAGTATTTTATGGTTTTTTTTTGAGACAGAGTCTTGCTCTGTTGCCTGGGCTAGACTGCTCACAGCAACCTCAAACTCCTGGGCTCAAGCGATCCTCTTGTCTCAGCTTCCCGAATAGCTGGAACTATAGGCGTGCACCACCATGCCCAGCTAATTTTTTGCATTTTTAGTTGTCTAGCTAATTTCTTGTTATTTTTAGTAGAGATGGGGTCTCGCTCTTGCTCAGGCTAGTCTTTTTTTTTTTTTTTTTTGAGACAGTCTCGCTTTCTTGCCTAGGCTAGAGTGAGTGCCATGGTGTCAGCCTAGCTCACAGCAACCTCAAACTCCTGGGCTCAAGCGATCCTCCTGCCTCAGCCTCCCGAGTAGCTGGGACTACAGGCACGAGCCACCATGCCAGGCTGATTTTTATATTATATATATTAGTTGGCCAATTAATTTCTTTCTATTTTTATGGTAGAGCCGGGGTCTCGCTCAGGCTGGTTTTGAACTCCTGACCTTGAGCAATCCGCACGCCTCAGCCTCCCAGAGTGCTAGGATTACAGGCGTGAGCCACCGCGCCCCGCCTCAGGCTAGTCTTGAACTCCTGAGCTCAACGGATCCTCCGGTGTCAGCTTCCCAGAGTGCTAGGATTATAGGTGTGAGCCACCAAGCCCAGCCAAGGAAGGTATTTTAAAAAGAAGGCAGACCGACCTAGAAAGCTAGGTTATATAGTCAAATAGTGATTTAGCTCCTTATCTGATTAAATAATATTCTATGAATAATCTCCCTTCTTTGGGCTTCACTTTTAGAAGATATAATTATCAAGCCTTAGTTGAGAAAAAAATGAATCTTGATGTTTTAAATTTAGACCCCAAATTTAAAATATCTGTTCTTAAACCTTGGAATCTTACAGATAATAGACTTGAAAGTCAATAAACTGAAATATTGAAGACTGGGTTAAGCAAACTTTATCTGTATAGGGTCAGATAATTAATATTTTCACCTTTTGATGGCTATACAGTCTCTGTAAAAACTACTCAACTGGAGGGGGGTGTAGTCACGCCTGTAATCCTAGCACTCTGGGAGGATGAGATGCTAGGATTGCTCAAGGTCAGGAGTTCAAAACCAGCCTGAGGCTGGGCACTGTGGCTTAAGCCAGTAATCCTAGCACTCAGGGAGGCTGAGGTGGGTGGATCGCTCAAGGTCAGGAGTTTGAGACCAGCCTAAGCAAGAGTGAGACCCCATCTCTACTAAAAATAGAAATTATCAGGACAACTAAAAATATATAGGAAAAATTAGCTGGGCATGGTGGCACATGCATGTAGTCCCAGCTACTCAGGAGGCTGAGGCAGAAGAATTTCTTGAGCTCAGGAGTTTGAGGTTGCTGTGAGCTAGGCTGACGCCATGCCCAGGCAACAGAGTGAGACTGTCTCAAAAAAAAACAAAAACAAACTACTCAACTCTGCCACTGAGGCATGAAAGCAGGCGTAGACAACACATAAATGGATGAATGTGTCAACATCTAGAAAAATTTCATTGACATAGACAGGCAGTGGGCTACAGATCATTGTTTGTAATAAGTAAGCATGACTCTGTTTCAATAAAACTTATGTATGGACACTCCAATTTGAATTTCCTATAATTTTCATGTGCCACAAAACACTATTTTTTCTTTTTTTTTTTAACCATTCTTATTTGGTTGGTAGGTGGCAAAAGGATTTGGCATGTGGCCCATATGCCACAGGGGTTTTGCTGACCCCTGATTTAAGTAGTACAATATGTTAGAAAATTGGTAGAGAAGACAAAAATAAAATTTAAATATATTTAATTTTAGTTCTGGCATTTGAGTCTGAGCAGAATGGATGCAACAGCTCTCTCTCCTCTCCAGCTAGCGCTATGTAAGGATTAATTGAAATGACTTTTATAAATAAGTACAATTTCTGGCACTCAGCAGTAGTAAATGCTAATTTGTATCTTATTTTTACTTTTACCTAAATTGATACTTCACGGATAGAAACAAGTTCTCAAGCCATTACTTTAATAGGAAAAAAAAAAGCCAAAGGAATGAACAATTTGTTCCACTAATTTACTAATTTTCAGAATACACTGTTTCCAGAAGGCAAACTGGTAATAGAAAAAGAAAGGTAAAATCGATAACTTCCTGTGAGATGCTAACATTACATATTTAAAGAAAAATTTAAGCTAATAATATATAAAACATTTTTTGAGCACTTACCTTTTGCTGGGTGGTATTCTAAATGCTCTTCGTGAATTACCTCAAGTATCTACAAGAATTCTGAGGTAGATACTATCAACACTTCACAGATAAGAGATGGAGGCCCAGTTAAAGTAATCTGCAGGAGGTCGCCTAGCTAAGAGTGGGTGGAGCTTGTATTCCAACCAATGCTATTTGGCTTCAGATTCTCTGCTCTGTTGCCCTGGGGAGAATGCAGTGGCTTAAATCATAGCTCACGGCGATCTCCAACTCCTGGGCTCAAGTGATCCTCTTGCCTCAGCCTCTGGAGGAGCTCCGGGAGGAGCTGGGACTATAGGCCCCAAGACTCCAGGCAAATTTTTCTAGTTTTTGTACGGATGGGGTCTTGCTCTTGCTCCGACTGGTCTGGAACTCCTTAAGCAATCCCGCCCAGGCCTCCCAGAGTGCAGATCCTCTTAACAACTGAAATGATCGTTAAAAATTTCAAGAAGGAAAAAAACACTGCTAAATTATAGTATAAGAAGGAAAAACAATTTTAGTTTAACAGAAAACACATTTGACTTGAAATATGTATCTGAAATAAGTCTAGAGCAAACACTACATCTTTAATTTGAATAAGAGCAGCAGTGTAGGAAAATTTTCCTATTTACTCTAGTGGTTCACTGAAATAGCATTACTGACCAGACTCAAGGAGTCTACATTAGGTGTAGTTAGGAAGCTTGTGCTCCAGAGTCAGAGTGCTTTGGCTTGAGACCCTGCCTCATACTAGCAGGGAGACCTTAGGGGACTCAAACTAACTTCCTCGGGCCTTAGTCATCTGAATGGGTAACACTGAGGAGAAAAGGAGCCAGACAAAGCCATTTCCAAAGATTTGGTGAATAAGGTAGAGACCAATTACAAAAGTGGACCAAATAATCTGCCACAGACCAGGGAGAAAATATAAATACACCAATTTAGGGTTATGGCCTAAAAAAGCATACAGACACAAAAAGGCCTTCAGAGCTTACAAGCAGGGAAAGTGATAGATCAAATAGTAAGAAGTGAAAAGCACATGGCCAACCCCCATCCACCACATTCAAAAATAAGACAAGAATTTCTACAGTCAAACCGGTTCCTACAGTTTCATTCAGTTCCTGATGTTAATTCCCCCAAGCAAAGCATAAACGCACTCTATTTAAAAGCAGAGAGGGTTTACGCACCGGCCCCGGGCGGCCACGCCACTCGCACTTGCCCACTCGCCGGAAGTCCACCCAGCGGGACCCGGCGGGCGCCCCGCCCCGGGCTCCGCCTCCCCACTGGCCGGCGACAGGCGCGATTCCCTCCCGCCCTCGGGTGCGGCCGGAGTCTGCTCCCCAGCAAAGCCAGCAAAGCCGTGGCACGTTTATAATGTTAACACTAGTTAGTGTGCGGTGCCACGTAACGTCTGGACGCGGGCGAGTGGGAGCGCCTAAATGCCAAACCTATGGTTAACCAATGCTGCGCTGCTCCTGAGGGTCAGAACTGACCGGCTACTGCGGGCAAAACCTCATGACACGCTTGGTTCCCGATAAAACTAAAACGCACCAGAACGCTGGTCTCTCAGGACCTCTGACCTATTGCTAAGAAAAAAATAAGAGCCAATTATAGGATGCAATGGGAGAGACACAGGATAAGAACGTGCTTAGTATTCGCACCACAGTGGGGGGTGGGGTGGGCTGGGCTGATTAGTTCTTCCCCGGATGCAACTCCTTGACGAAACAGAACTTGGCGCCACCCGCAAACTTGGAGGCCTTGTGTCAAACACCATGTTGCCCATCTCGCTCCCTTTCCTCAGGGCCTTTTATCTCAGGCGGTCAATCGCTACAGTAATCCTCTTAAATCGCCTAAACACCTTTGGGAACTGACAACTTAAGAAGACACAGCCTCCTGAAGAGAGCCTTCTCCTGTAATGGCGCCTGCGTCAGACACTAACATGGCGGACATAGTCGTGCGCGGCGCAAACGTCAGCACCTCTACCCCAGCCGCTCAGAAACAGCGGCGGAGAGCGGGGCCGTGCTCACTGATTGGCTCGTCTGTGGAGCGTGCCGGACCGGACGCTCCCATAGGAGCCAATCAGGAAGGAGAGAGACGGAATTGGCTGCTGCGCCCTCTTCTGAGGCATGCTGGGAGCCTGGAGGACTAGCGAGGAGGAGTTGAGAGAACGGAGCGGACGCCATGGCGACCAACATCGAGCAGATTTTTAGGTCTTTCGTGGTCAGTAAATTCCGGGAAATTCAACAGGAACTTTCCAGGTAAGTGCCTCCCAGACTCTTCTGCTTCCAACGGACCGTTAGGGCCCCATCTAGCCTTCCATGGCGCCTTTCTTCAGAGACGCTGTCGTTCCTCGGCTCAGGCCCCGCTATGGCCCCGCCTGGGCCTGGTATCCATTTTCCGGCCCCCCCCCCACCCCTCAAACCTTCCGTCCGCTCCCTTCCTTCCCCCTCGAGGAACTTCGCCTTTTCCGAGGTAACCCCGGACTCTTTTTTTCAGAACCGAGTTAAGATGCTCACCCTTCTCTCGCGTTTGGTCCCCCCCTACTGTTTAGCTACTTGTAGGCCTGGTTGTCCACCGGGGACGGGCCTGGTTCCCTCCTCAGCTCCTCCTCCGCCGCGTTTCCCCTCCCCCTCTCCGCCTCCGCGGCTTTCGCCGGCCAGTGCCTATGACCGGAAAGGGTCTCTAACGGCCGTTTCTTGGGTAATCTTAAATCCGCTTTATTATTGCAAGCTTCAGATCATTTAGGGGTCTGAATCCATTAATTAGATTATTCGGGCCCTAGTGTTCTGTGGTTCCCACCAGGCAGCATTCTAGTAGATTACAGATTTTAATTAAAACAGCTCAAATTAATATTCACTGTCTGGTAAAATATTCGAGTTTAGGATGGAAGGAGACTTTGAAGTATTAGTGATTAATTTTAGCCATTGGAAAGCGTACTTTGTAGGTCCATTTTTTTCTTGCTGCTCCTGCTCCAGTTGACAAGTTTACCAACACGCTATTTTTGCCGTTGCTGCTAGACTTTACATAAATTGTCCTTGGTTCCACAAAATCTGAAAGGAAAGAGATTTTCAGAGAAATGGTTGCTTTCTCAGAAAGGAAAATAGTATGGGTTATATTGTTCAGTGTTCGTTGTCTTTATTTTCATTTTGTATGAGTTACTCATTTCTTGAAAGTACAGAGGTAGGAAAGAGGTTTTGGAACGTAAATATTTGTTGGGAATTCAGATGTTTGCTGATTGTATTTTAAAAGTTGAGAGCAAGAGCAATACGTGAATTTGAAAATCGGCTGAGCCTGAAAACCAGTTGTAAACTTTGTGCCCAAGAGTAATACAGAATTTTTAGGGCAATGATATAAAATAGTTGTATGTAATAAGTAGTTATGTTTGCTTAATTTAATAAGCTTTGTTTATATAGCTTTCTAAATAGCCACTCTTTTAGATAATGAGTGTTATTGTAGAAAATTTAGAAAATATAGAAAAAGGAGAAAGGAAAACCAAAAACCACCAGTTACTGATGTTCTAATGTCCTTTAATTTTTTTCACGTATTAAGTGAAATGTAATCACTTGTATTGATTGTTTTTCCATCTGATAATGTGAACAAGTTTGTTCATCACAGTCTCAGTGGACATTCTTCATGGCTGTGTAGAATTCCATTGTAGGAATACATTGATGGATATTTTGATGTTTGAAATTTTTATTGCTTTTCAGTAATTGTGGTTAATTTCCTGGTAGCTTTAAGATGGAATCATGATTATTTTTCTACAAATTGACTTTTTACAATCATAGTTACTTTTCTGATTTTTAAAGCTGTGATAATTGTTTATGTATAAGTGCCTATGAGAAGTTTAAAGTGCTCCAGGAAGACTGCTTAAAAAGAATATTAGACAAAGCAGTTTATTACTAGAGGAATGTGCAACTTCTCCTAAAATAACATGTAATGCATTATCAATCTAAAAACACATTTTTGATTGGTCGCCCTTTCATTAAGCTGTTTTTTTCTTTTTTTCCCCCATCTCCTTTTACATAAATTAGTGTGGGTAATGAGGCTAACATTTAGATAGTTAAATTATTTAAGTATTGTATGTGGATGGTAAGAGCATGTGCTCTGGTTTTGAATACCACCATCACCTCTTAATAGCCATGTCCAGCTAAGTTTCTTGTCTGTGTCTCGTTTTCCTCATTTATAAAATCGGAATAATTAGTGGTGATCTTAAAGTTTTGTAACGATTAAATGAGTTTTTAAAAATGTAGAATAGTGTGATACTAGTTAGTCAATACATGTTAATTATTATTTTACATGATTCATTGTATTAGAAAACCTAATGTTCCTTAATAATATTTAGTTAACTACTTAATTTTTTGTGTGTTTGATCATTTAGACTCTTATCAGGTGTTAGAGCATGATTGATGTGTTTATTTAGCTAAAATTGACATTAAAATTTGGACTGTTGTAGAAATTGATTTTTTACAATTTTGCATATTTACCCCAAAATAGTAAAAACGACTATGTGAATGACATGTTATCTATGTTAAGATTCTCCTTGCCCGGTAAATTAAAAATGTGTTAACAGCCATCGTTCATTTTATGTTAGTATGAATGAATTGCCACTTGTCCAAGTCTATGTAAGGTTTTTTGAACACAAGAAATTTCTTTTTTTTTTTTTTTTTTTTTTTTTTTTTTTTTTTTTTGAGACAGAGTCTCGCTTTGTTGTCCAGGCTAGAAAGAAATTTCTTAATGCCATGATTTTTGATAATTCGTTAAAAATTATATCAATATATTTTTCTTTTTATACTTTGTGCACATTTCAGTAACAGTCTGTACCTGAACAGAGGTTACAAGTTACCCTTTTTACTCAGTGTGCCTGTAGCCAACTTTGTGTTCCTTGATAACTACTGATGGTGGTTGTGGTTTATGCATAGGTGTGGCTTTATTGTGGCCATGATTTCTACCATAATGTTAGGTCATATGTTTTTCTTTGGGTTTGTGATTAGACTCTTATTAATTTTTCTCCCCTGAGAGAAATATATAGGTAACCCAAAAGCCTCAAGTTAGATTTATGGAATTATTTTATTTATAAAAGGGTATACTTAGGAATCTGTTTTAAAAACTTAGCTTTCACAATCCTGAAAACTCTTAATTTTGTAAAGATGAAAATGTCCTAAATATAAGTAGTGTCAAGGAAGCATCATTAGTAGAAAAAACTTGAAATAGAGAAAGGATGAAATGTCTGGATGATATAATACAATACATGATTATTTTAATTAATTGGTTTATTAATACTAATTTGTTGATTTGTATGGTGTGATAAAATATTAATGAAGTTTGATAACTTTTCATGTCAAGTGGAAGGAATGAAGGCCAGCTGAATGGTGAAACAAATACACCCATTGAAGGAAACCCGGCGGGTGATGCAGCTGCCTCTGCCAGGAGCCTGCCAAATGAAGAAATAGTACAGAAGATAGAGGAAGTACTTTCTGGGGTCTTAGATACCGAACTACGATATAAGCCAGGTAAGTTGGAGATAATCAGTCATCTCAAAATTTTAAGATTTTTAAAAAAAATTTGACGGCTAATAATATTATTTTTTAAACATTTAAAGTGTTCATTCAATCTTACACTTCAGTAGATATAAGTTTTTGTTTAATTGATTTACTGAAGTCTGTCTTGTTTAAATCCTTGTTTGAATATGTAATTGTGCTGAAACATAAACATTGATGTAACTTGTTTGCTTTGTTGGTGGAATATAATTTTTATCTTTATCTGGTTTAGTTTTGATTGAGTTTCAATTTATTTGATTCAGTTTCTCAATACCAATAATTTGAATGGGGGTTTCATTGAATAATTGTGTAAATGTCAGTTTTGGAGGGTACATTAGCCTGGACCAAATCCAACGATTTTAAAAACATACCCTGGGAGGTTTTGTTTTAAAGTCCAATCATAGAGGTTCCCTCATTTTTGTATTCACCCCACTTAAAAGTGCAATGAATGGGCTGGGCGTGGTGGTTCACGCCTGTAATCCTAGCGCTCTGGGAGGCCAAGGCGGGTGAATTGCTCAAGGTCAGGAGTTCAGAACCAGCCGGAGCAAGAGTGAGACCCTGTCTGTACCAAAAATAGAAAGAAATTAACTGGACAACTAAAAACATAGAAAAAAATAGCCAGGCACGGTGGCGCATGCCTGTAATCCTAGCTCTCTGGGAGGCTGAGGCGGGCGGATTGCTCAAGGCCAGGAGTTCGAAACCAGCCTGAGCAAGAGCGAGACCCTGTCTCTACTATAAATAGAAAGAAATTAATTGGCCAACTAATACATATAGAAAAAATTAGCCGGGCATGGTGGCACATGCCTGTAGTCGCAGCTACTTGGGAGGCTGAGGCAGAAGGATTGCTTGAGCCCAGGAGTTTGAGGTTGCTGTGAGCTAGGCTGACACCACCGTCACTCACTCTAGCCTGGACAACAAAGCTAGACTCTGTCTCAAAAAAAAAAAGTGCAATGAATGGAGGACAGTCATTGCTTGCATATTTACCTTTCTTGGAATTGACTAAATAATAGATGTTTAGAAATGAAGGATTTATGATTAGCTACAAAAATAAGTCATTATCTTCATTTAGTTATGGAATAGGTTTGTGGTTTGTTTTTATTTCATGAGGTGTGATTTAAAAAGCACAGACTTTAGCCATGCTTAGATTTATGGCTCTAACAACCTTTCTTTCTTTTCTTTCTTTTTTTAATTTGGATAGTCAAGTAATCCAGGCAATCTAACAATCTTTTTTTTTTTTTTTTTTTTTTTGAGACAGAGTCTCACTCTGTTGCCTAGGCTAGAGTGAGTGCCATGGCGTCAGCCTAACTCACAGCAACCTCAAACTCCTGGGCTCGAGTGATCCTTCTGCCTCAGCCTCCCGAGTAGCTGGGACTACAGGCATGTGCCACTATGCCCGGCTAATTTTTATATATATATATATCAGTTGGCCAATTAATTTCTTTCTATTTATAGTAGAGACGGGGTCTCGCTCTTGCTCAGGCTGGTTTTGAACTCATGACCTTGAGCAATCCGCCCGCCTCGGCCTCCCAAGAGCTAGGATTACAGGCGTGAGCCACAGCGCCCGGCCTAATTTTTTTAAAGAATATATATATATATATTTTTTTTTTTTGAGACAGAGTCTAGCTTTGTTGCCCAGGCTATAGAGTGAGTGCTGTGGCGTCAGCCTAGCTCACAGCAACATCAGACTCCTGGGCTCAAGCGATTCTCCTGCCTCAGCCACCTGAGTAGCTGGGACTACAGGCATGTGCCACCATGCCTGGCTAATTTTTTCTATATATTTGTAATTGGCCAGTTAATTTCTCTCTATTTATAGTAGAGATGGGGTCTTGCTGTTGCTCAGGCTGGTTGTGAACTCCTGAACTTGAGCAATCCACCCACCTCGGCCTCCCAGAGTGCTAGGATTACAGGCGTGAGTCACCATGCCCCGTCTTAAAATTTATTTTGTAGTAGTTTTTGAAGAGTATTTTATTGGCATGTAACATAGGTATAAGATAAAACTTGAATTCTTTATTGATGCATTTTTTTATTTGTTGTTGAGGTATTCATATATTATCTAAAAGCTATCACTACACTTTGCTGAAAGTTTACTAGTTGCCAGGCATTGTTCGATGGGCTTTGCATGTTTTACTTATTTCATTCTCTAATTCTGGAAGACACAGTGTGTCAGTAATTTGGCCAAGGCCATTCATCTAGTAAGTGATGGATTGATTCAGGATCTAAAAGCAGGCAGTCTGTTCCAGAGCCAATGCCATGTTGCTTTCTGTATAAAAGGGGTTAATAAAATAATCACAAAAATTATTTAATGTAAGCATTTTTGTTAGGAATTACAATAAGTAATAACATGAAATATATTGATTGATAAATGTAATTTGCTATAATTTGAGAGCTGGAGGAAATAATGATTTTTATAGAATTTAGTGAAACATAATGTAATTCCAAGTAAGTTTTAGTGATAAACTTAAGTATTTATTTTTAACCTAGGTTTTAGTTCTAGAAAGAAATATTGGAAAAGTGGCAGTCATGTTAAATGGAGTATGATAAATAGTTTATTTGATAACTTTTTGTTTAGTAAGAGGTATTATACTATGTTGTGTTAACATGGAACATAAGTATGGGTTGATATCATGTATCTAAATCACCTTTGGGGGATGTCTGACAAAATTAATTTGTTACTTTCAGACTTGAAAGAGGCCTCCAGAAAAAGTAGATGTGTATCTGTACAAACAGATCCTACTGATGAAATTCCCACCAAAAAGTCAAAGAAACATAAAAAGCACAAAAACAAAAAGAAGAAAAAGAAGAAAGAAAAGGAAAAAAAATATAAAAGACAGCCAGAAGAATCTGAGTCAAAGCCGAAATCTCATCATGATGGGAACATAGATTTAGAATCTGATTCCTTTTTAAAGTTTGATTCTGAACCTTCAGCAATGGCACTGGAGCATACTACAAGAGCATTTGTTCTATCTGAGACCAGTGAATCCTCTGCAATTGTGCTAGAACCTCCTATAGTATCAATGGAGGTGTCAGAGCCTCACATCACAGAAACTCTGAAGCCAGATGCAAAAACTGCAGAACTGTCAGTTGCATCTACATCAGTAATCACAGAGCAGTCTGTGACAGTAATGCTGGAACCACCCATGACAAAGATTCTGGATTCCTTTGCAGCAGCATCAGTGCCTACTACGACAGCGGTGCTGAAGTCATCTGAGCCAGTTGTAACCATGTCGGAGTATCAGATGAAGTCTGTGCTGAAATCTTTGGAGGGCATATCTCCAGAGCCATCAAAGATCATGTTGGTAGAGCCCCCAGTAGTAAAAGTGTTAGAGCCATCAGAAACCCTTGTGGTATCATCAGAGACACCTACTGAGGTGTACCCTGAGCCAAGCACATCAACAACAATGGATTTTCCAGAGTCATCTGCAACTGAAGCGCAAAGATTGCCAGAGCAGCCTGAAGAAGTACCATCGGAGATTGCAGATTCATCCATGACAAGGCCGCAGGAGTTGATGGAGCTGCCTAAGACCACAGCGTTGGAGCTGCCGGAGTCGTCGGTGGCCTCAGCGATGGAGTTGCCGGGGCCACCTGCGACCTCCATGCCGGAGTTGCAGGGGCCCTCAGTGACTCCAGTGCTGGAGTTACCTGGGCCCTCTGCTACCCCGGTGCCAGAGTTGCCAGGGCCCCTTTCTACCCCAGTGCCTGAGTTGCCAGGGCCCCCTGCGACAGCAGTGCCTGAGTTGCTGGGGCCCTCTGTGACACCAGTGCAACAGTTGTCACAGGAAATGCCAGGGCTTCCAGCACCATCCATGGGGTTGGAGCCACCACAGGAGGTGCCAGAGCCACCTGTGATGGCACAGGAGTTGCCAGGGCTGCCTGTGGTTACAGCGGCAGTAGAGTTGCCAGAGCAGCCTGCGGTGACAGTAGCAATGGAGTTGACCGAACAACCTGTGACGACGACAGAGTTGGAGCAGCCTGTGGGGATGACAACGGTGGAACATCCTGGGCATCCTGAGGTGACAACGGCAGCAGGGTTGCTGGGGCAGTCTGAGGCAACGATGGTGCTGGAGTTGCCAGGACAGCCAGTGGCAACGACAGCGCTGGAGTTGCCGGGGCAGCCTTCGGTGACTGGGGTGCCAGAGTTGCCAGGGCTGCCTTCGGCAACTAGGGCACTGGAGTTGTCAGGGCAGCCTGTGGCAACTGGGGCACTAGAGTTGCCTGGGCAACTCATGGCAACTGGGGCACTGGAGTTCTCGGGGCAGTCTGGGGCAGCTGGAGCACTGGAGCTTTTGGGGCAGCCTCTGGCAACAGGGGTGCTGGAGTTGCCGGGGCAGCCTGGGGCGCCAGAGTTGCCTGGGCAACCTGTGGCAACTGTGGCGCTGGAGATCTCTGTTCAGTCTGTGGTGACAACATCGGAGCTGTCAACGATGACCGTGTCGCAGTCCCTGGAGGTGCCCTCGACGACAGCGCTGGAATCCTATAATACGGTAGCACAGGAGCTGCCTACTACATTAGTGGGGGAGACTTCTGTAACAGTAGGAGTGGATCCCTTGATGGCCCAAGAGTCCCATATGTTAGCTTCTAACACCATGGAGACCCATATGTTAGCATCCAACACTTTGGACTCCCAGATGCTAGCGTCCAACACCATGGACTCCCAGATGCTAGCGTCCAACACCATGGACTCCCAGATGTTAGCCTCTAGCACCATCGACTCCCAGATGTTAGCAACTAGCACCATGGACTCCCAGATGTTAGCCACTAGCTCCATGGACTCCCAGATGTTAGCAACTAGCACTATGGACTCCCAGATGTTAGCAACCAGTTCCATGGACTCCCAGATGTTAGCAACCAGTTCCATGGACTCCCAGATGTTAGCAACCAGCTCCATGGACTCCCAGATGTTAGCAACCAGCTCCATGGACTCCCAGATGTTAGCAACCAGCTCTATGGACTCCCAGATGTTAGCAACCAGCTCTATGGACTCCCAGATGTTAGCAACCAGCACCATGGATTCTCAGATGTTAGCATCTGGCACTATGGACTCTCAAATGTTAGCTTCCGGCACCATGGATGCTCAGATGTTAGCATCTGGTACCATGGATGCCCAGATGTTAGCGTCTAGTACCCAAGATTCTGCTATGTTGGGTTCAAAATCTCCTGATCCCTATAGATTAGCTCAGGATCCTTACAGGTTAGCTCAGGATCCTTATAGGTTGGGTCATGATCCCTATAGATTAGGACATGATGCTTACAGGTTAGGACAGGACCCCTATAGATTAGGCCATGATCCCTACAGACTAACTCCTGATCCCTATAGGATGTCACCTAGACCCTATAGGATAGCACCCAGGTCCTATAGAATAGCACCCAGGCCATACAGGTTAGCACCTAGACCCCTGATGTTAGCATCTAGACGTTCTATGATGATGTCCTATGCTGCAGAACGTTCCATGATGTCATCTTATGAACGCTCTATGATGTCTTATGAGCGGTCTATGATGTCCCCTATGGCTGAGCGCTCTATGATGTCAGCGTATGAGCGCTCTATGATGTCAGCCTATGAGCGCTCTATGATGTCCCCTATGGCCGAGCGCTCTATGATGTCAGCTTATGAACGCTCTATGATGTCAGCTTATGAGCGCTCCATGATGTCCCCAATGGCTGATCGATCGATGATGTCCATGGGTGCCGACCGGTCTATGATGTCGTCATACTCTGCTGCTGACCGGTCTATGATGTCATCGTACTCTGCAGCTGACCGATCTATGATGTCATCTTATACTGCTGATCGTTCAATGATGTCTATGGCTGCTGATTCTTACACTGATTCTTACACTGATACATACACGGAGGCATATATGGTGCCACCTTTGCCTCCTGAAGAGCCCCCAACAATGCCGCCATTGCCACCTGAGGAGCCACCAATGACACCACCGTTGCCTCCTGAGGAGCCACCAGAGGGTCCAGGATTATCCACTGAGCAGTCAGCATTAACAGCTGAGAATACTTGGCCTACAGAGGTGCCATCTTTACCTCCTGAAGAGTCTGTATCGCAGGCCGAACCTGCTGTGAGTCAAAGTGAGATTTCAGAGTCTTCGGCAGTGCCTGCTGATTATTCATTGTCAGCATCAGATCCTTCAGTGTTAGCAGCATCAGAGGCTGCCATGACTATTGCAGAACCACTGCTAGAGCCAGAAACTTCAGTTACGTCAACACCCGTAGAGTCGACGGTAGTAGCAGAAGAACATGAAATTATTCCAGAGAGACCAGTGACTTGTGTGGTGTCTGAAACTCCCATAATGTCAGCTGAACCAACTATGTTAATATCAGAGCCTCCTATTATGTCAGAGACAGCAGAAACATTTGATTCCATGAGAGCCTCAGGGCATATAGCCTCAGAGGTACCTATGTCCTTGCTGGAGCCAGCAGTAACTATTCCAGAACCAGCAGAGAGCAGCATCCTGGAGCCACCAACTATGGCTGTTCCAGAGCCTCCAGCCATGGCTGTCCCAGAGCCTCCAGCCATGGCTGTCCCAGAGCCTCCAGCCATGGCCGTCCCAGAGCCTCCAGCCATGACTATCCCGGAGCCTCTGCCTATGGCTGTCTCGGAGCCTCCTGCTATGGCCATCCCTGAGCCTCTGGTTGTGGCTGAGCCAGAGCATGTTACCATTCCTGTGCCAGTTGTTTCTGTCCTGGAACCTACTGTGCCTGTCCTGGAACCAGTAGTGTCAGTCCTTCAACCTGCTGTGATTGTTTCAGAACCATCTGTTTCTGTCCAGGAATCCACTGTGACAATTTCAGAGCCTGCTGTAACTGTCTCAGAGCAGACTCAAGTACTATCAACTGAAATGGTTATGGAGTCTACACCAATGATACTGGAGTCTAATGTTGTGTCCTCATCACATGTTATGAAAGGAATGACTCTACTATCTGGTGATCAAAATCTTGGTCCAGAGAGTGGCATGCAGGAGATTCCGTTGCATTCAGGTGAGGAGCCACATGAAGGACACCTGAAAAGTGACTCTTACGAAAATGATTGTGGAATGAATATAGACCTTAATATAAATAATCATTTGGTTGGTAAAGAAGTGGAACATAATACAATGTGTGCTGCTAGCACTGGTTCTGTTGGTGAAATTGGTGAAGACAAAATTTTACCCATCGATGAGACTAAACAATGCCAAGTATTGGATACTTACCCTGGTGTCAGTGAAGCAGATGTAGGAGAAACTCTATCTTCTACTGGTCCTCTTGCTCTGGAACCTGATGCAGTGGGAACTAGTAAGACTATTGAATTTATCACAGCATCTACTCTCAGTTCAGTTAATAAATATGATGTTGAAGTATCTTTAGCTACTCAAGATACTGAACATGACATGGTAATTTCAACGAGCCCCAGTGGTGGTAGTGAAGCTGATATAGAAGGACCTTTGCCTGCTAAAGACATTCATCTTGATTTACCATCTAGTAATAACCTTGTTTGTAAGGATACAGAAGAACCATTAACCCTAAAAGAGAGTGACCAGACTTCTGCAGTAGCTCTCAGTCCTAAAGATACTAGTGGAGTTGAAAAAGAAGTACCTCTCCCTACTAAAGAGATATCTGATTCAGCATTTTCTGCCAACATTGAGGATATTAATGAAGCAGATTTAGTAAGACCATTGCTTCCTAAGGACATGGAACGTCTTACAAGCCTTAGAGCTAGTATTGAAGGACCTTTGCTAGCAAGTGAAGTTGAACGTGACAAATCTGCTGCCAGTCCAGTTGTAATTAGTATACCAGAAAGAGCTTCAGAGTCATCTTCTGAGGAAAAAGATGATTATGAAATTTTTGTAAAAGTTAAGGACACACATGAAAAAAGCAAGAAAAATAAGAACCGTGACAAAGGTGAGAAAGAGAAGAAAAGAGACTCTTCATTAAGATCTCGAAGTAAGCGTTCCAAGTCTTCTGAACACAAATCACGCAAGCGAACCAGTGAATCTCGTTCTAGGGCAAGGAAGAGATCATCTAAGTCCAAGTCTCATCGCTCTCAAACACGTTCACGCTCACGTTCAAGACGTAGGAGGAGGAGCAGCAGGTCAAGATCAAAGTCTAGAGGAAGACGATCTGTATCAAAAGAGAAGCGTAAAAGATCTCCAAAGCACAGATCCAAGTCTAGGGAAAGAAAAAGAAAAAGATCAAGCTCCAGGGATAACCGAAAAACAGTTAGAGCTCGAAGTCGCACCCCAAGTCGTCGGAGTCGGAGTCACACTCCGAGTCGTCGAAGAAGGTCTAGATCTGTGGGTAGAAGAAGGAGCTTTAGCATTTCTCCCAGCCGCAGGAGCCGCACCCCAAGCCGCAGGAGCCGCACCCCAAGCCGCAGGAGCCGCACCCCAAGCCGCAGGAGCCGCACCCCAAGCCGCAGGAGCCGCACCCCAAGCCGCAGGAGCCGTACCCCAAGCCGCAGGAGCCGAACCCCAAGCCGCAGGAGCCGCACCCCCAGCCGTCGAAGAAGATCAAGGTCTGTGGGAAGACGACGAAGCTTCAGTATATCCCCAGTCAGATTGAGGCGATCAAGAACACCGTTGAGAAGAAGGTTCAGTAGATCTCCTATCCGTCGTAAAAGATCTAGGTCTTCTGAACGAGGCAGATCACCCAAACGTCTGACAGATTTGGGTGAGTCATTCTGTTAAAATTGAATGGGATTGTAATAGAGAATGATTTAAACCTGAGCTTTTTCTGATCTTTAGTCAGATGAAATATTTTGGGTTACTGGTTTATGATAAATATTTCTATCTTTAAATTTTTATGGTTAAAAACTCGTATTTATAAGAAAGCATAGGGATAAGCATGTTGTAATTGGTGTTGAAAGACGTGCTTTGGAATATAATTAGAATCAAGATGTTTCCATACTTGAATGTTTTATTTTGCTTTGGTCACCTTGCCATGACTAAAAATGGAAAGCAGAAGCAGATGTAGAAGTCTAGTTATGTTAAAAACAAGGCTAATATATGTTCATATTGTTATTTTATGTATTCCAAATACATCCTTGCAAATGAGCCTAAAATTACAATATTTCTTAATAGGTTTCTTAAAATGGTGATATAGGACTTAAGTATTTGTGAAGGTAATTATGATTGTTACAGTTGATAATAGGAGCGAGTAGGGAGTTTTGCACGTGGGGGGGTATTTAACTGGTTGGGTGATAAAGTAAGTGAAATTTATTAGATCAGTGACATTTAATCTGTTCTACTTAAAAAATAAATACTTGGCCGGGAGCAGTGGCTCACACCTGTAATCCTAGCACTTTGGGAAGCCGAGGCATGAGGATTAGTTGAGGTCAGGAGTTGGAGAACAGCTGGAGCAAGAGCGAGACCCTGTCTTTACTGAAAATAGAAAGATTAGCCGGTGTTGTGGTTTGTATCTATAGTCCCAGCTACATGGGAGGCTGAGGCAGGAGGATGGCTTGAATCCAGGAGTTTGAGGTTGCGGTGAACTATGGTGATGCCACTGTGCTGTAGCTTCGAGTGACACAGTGAGACTGTCTCAAAAAAAAAAAAAAAGCTCAAATTTTAAGTAGTGTTTAGAGATGATTAAAACTTGGATAATGCATGATTACCTGCAATAAGTGTGGATAATATATTATTATTCCAGTATATTGGACATGTCCAGGTCAAGATTGTCTAAAGAAAAAGACCTTAAGAGTAATTAGGGAGACTCTGCATTCATTTCAACAAAAGTTTTCTGAGTTCTGTCTTTTCCAAAGCAAAGGAACATTATGTAATTCCAAAAGTGATGACATGTTGGAGAAGACATGGGTAAAATGCCAAAAAAGACAGAATGTGATGAGTATTGTAGTGCTGGTGTAGGTGAGGTACTTGAGGAGCACAGTAGAGTGTTAATTCTAACTTAATGGTGACTTGTTAGAAGAGGTGGCTCTTGAACTTGGACTCAGAGTGATTTAAGATGTCAGATTAGGAGGAGAGTAATTTTGGGTTATGGTAATTCAAGGAAGTAAAGTTGGCTTTGGTAGGTTTGTGTCTTCAGAGTGTGTCATAGTTCAGAGTGCGACTGTCATAGTTGTATGCTTATATGGTGAGTCAGCTGTTTTGTGTTGTAGTATTTGAACGGGAAGCTCATTGTGGACTTAATTTTTTAAAAATAGGGGTCCACTGCTTTAAAACTTTGAGCCAGAGGGTTAACTTAGAGTGGAAAATTTATGCCTTAGTTTTGTTAGTATATAAAACTTTTGGTAATAAAAAATGTACAGCCTTCTAGGAAAACTGCTTCTTATATTCTTCCTCTTACAGATAAGGCTCAGTTACTTGAAATAGCCAAAGCTAATGCAGCTGCCATGTGTGCTAAGGCTGGTGTTCCTTTACCGCCAAACCTAAAGCCTGCACCTCCACCTACAATAGAAGAGAAAGTTGCTAAAAAGTCAGGAGGAGCTACTATAGAAGAACTAACTGAGGTAAGCTAGACAGAATTTGTTTTCATTCTTAAATGGATTATTCCAGTGATGTTGACTCTGGAGCGTGCCAAAACCCGAATTGTGGGCTGAACTGATAATGGCTGGCACCGAGTGGCCAAAACCCGAAATACAGATGTGGCAGCGGCAGAAGCTCTGTTTAGCAGGCCATTATCTGGGATGGCTAAGCTCCGCTAGCTAAAAGTTACTTCCCATTACTTTTGCTTTCCAGTTTTAGAAGCCAAACTGACTGAGGAGTGGGACGGTTCGTTTGAATGGAGGAGGTGTTGAGTGAGCAACACGCAGAAGCTCGCCTACAGTTTCGTTTCCATTCACGACGTGTTCACTGATCGCCACGAGTGTACTGCATATACGCAAAGACACAGACAATCTTCAGAAATGATCTTTTGCCACCGGAGCTTGGAAATTAATAAGAATAGCTGGCCATTGCCTGAAAGGAACTTCTTTCGCATCAACATTTCGGGTTTTGGCTGTTTGGTACCAGCCATTGGCGATAATGGCCAACCATTATCAGTTCTTCCTGCGGTTCGGGTTTTGGCAGTAACATATATATTTTAAACATACTTATTTTTGTTTTTAAAAATTTGGTCTTTCCAATTGAGGCTTTTTTGGGGGCTTTGTTTTATTATTACTACTTTTTTTTCTTTGGGGGTGGAAATGCTGAAATATTGCTGCTAGAATCCAGAAATACCACACTGTTTCATATATTGAAACTTGTTATTGGCTAGCCTTATGCCAGCCTGCCACTGTCAATATATATTCTGTTCCCCTTGGTTACAAGCTTGATATACCCTGTGTTTTTGGCTAAATGAGCTTTTTATCCTATTGTAATATTTTCAATTGATAATAGATGTAATGAATTCTACTGCTTGTATAGAGACAGGTCTATCCAGATTTACTCTGACCTTTTTATAAAGCCAGGTAATGGAGTCTGTTCCTTTGCTTCTCAGGAAGGAATTGACTTTGCTTTATGTGTCAGACCTCATCAGTTGTACCCTCTCCATCATGCCTTATTTTCCATCTTTAAGTTCTGTTCATTAAGAGACTCAACCTACAAACATTTAATGGAGAGACATGTTACTATATAATTCTGCAAATGTTTTAGATTTTTTATTTTGCCATACATTTGAGGATCATAAAGCTTAATTTGTTTCCTTACTTAGATTTATTACAATATGAATTATAACTTTTAAAAAAAAATTAAGAACCTTGTAAAGCTTATATTGCTTACTTATCAAATCCAAGCTCCTTATCCAAAACACTATGGACACTTAGTATTTTGCTGTTTTTAAAGCCTCATCTTCAGCCCTGTTGTCCCTTTTAACAAATTTATTCACACCTTTTTACCACCACTTGAGTAGGATGACTTCTCCTTTCTCTACCAATCCTTATTCTTCACTATGAAAATCTGGCTTAGAACTCTTCAAGGAATATTCCTTGATTCTCTAACCCTGCCTGACTCTATTCTTTCTTAAGCCTTTGTTCTTTTAGCACTTATGTAATCAGTTTGTATTATATCAGTTTGCACTTGTTATTGTGTTGCTCTGTAAAAGCGTTCCTCAATTATTTCATGTATATGTATTCCGTCTCTTGTACTAGATTGTAAGCTCCTTGGGAGCAGGGACCATGTCTTCTACTTTTTTTTTTGTATTCCCCAGACAGTGCCCAGTACAGTGCTCTGCACATAGTAGGTGCTCAATAAATGTTGTTGACTGACTGACCAGCCAGAGTGTGTTTAAGTAATAGCTAATAAGCCAGATTATCTATCCATAGATAGATAACTTTGTTTTGAAAGTTGCTTTTATGTGGTTTTGATTCTAAGAAATTACATGTTGTTCTACATAAAGCATTTAAGAATTATTTTTGTTTGTTTTTACTTTTAAAGAAATGCAAACAGATCGCACAGAGTAAAGAAGATGATGATGTAATAGTGAATAAACCTCATGTTTCGGATGAAGAGGAAGAAGAACCTCCTTTTTATCATCATCCCTTTAAACTCAATGAACCCAAACCCATTTTTTTCAATCTGAATGTGAGTACTAATGCTTATGGATTGGTAAATAGCATAACTTATGGAACTATTTAAATAAAACCCCAAGTAGAATTTAGTTTATTAATTTTTGATTTAAATACTGTGAAATAACCAAATTATTTCCTTTCTGATTATGTTGAAAATCTTCAGAAACCATTTAATGTAGGTAATTGTTATACTACTAAGATTTAATTGAGAAATACTTTATTTTTTAGATTGCTGCAGCAAAGCCAACTCCACCAAAAAGCCAGGTAACATTAACAAAAGAATTTCCCGTGTCGTCTGGATCTCAACATCGGAAAAAAGAAGCCGACAGTGTTTATGGAGAGTGGGTTCCTGTAGAAAAAAATGGTGAAGAAAACAAAGATGATGATAATGTTTTCAGCAGCAATTTGCCCTCAGAGGTAAGTAAGAGGAATATTATATTTTTTTCCTTTTTTATGCCTGAATCTGCCATTTTATTGTTACTTTATATCTGATTTGGATTCTGTTTCACTCTTCTTAGGGCCGGGTTAAACGGCAGGGCCGGGTTAGACGACAGATGAAACAACCCGCAGCTTCTCATTTGACAGTAACTCGATGCAATTCACTTTGTGGAACCAAGCCACAAAGTGAAAAGCATCGAATTGCAGAGAACAGTGTTATCACATCCCTACCCAACATTGGGCCCTCCTTGCACTTGTGGGAAGGTAGCCCAAGGTACAACTATTTAGCTTCCCGTTTTGCTTCAAGGCTCTATAGCTCTAGATTTTGGTGGTAGCAAATTTACTGGGTGGAGGGATTGAGTGGAGAGAGGCAGATCCTCAGGTTCAACACAAGAACTGGATTGGAAAAGGTCATTGTAGGCTGATATGACATCTTGGGTACATAGCCCATTGCCCTTACATGATATTTTGTGTTTTTTTTTTTTTTAACTATTTCTCTGGGTTGTTTGTCAGATAGCCTTTTAATTTTAATCGTTTTCCCTTCCCCATGCTACCTTGGCCCTTTTGAATTCTTGTGTTTAACCTAATGCTCAGCCTTGGTACTCTATTCCCTTCTCCTTCCCCTCTTTGCTACTATTAAAAGTTGGAGAAGTGGAATTCACACCTTGAAATTTCCACAAGGCTATAGTTGTATCTTGTCAAAATGACGCACTAATAATGCCAAGTGTCAAAACAACCCCATTAAAATGCCGCCTGATTAAATATGTGCTGCTAAATATAGTGCACATCAAAACAGCAAGACTGTATATATATGTAAATATATATATATATATCTGTATCTTTGTATGTATCTCTGTATCTGTACCTTTGCTGTATCTTTTAATAAACAGTTTACTTTTATTTAACTTGTTGTGCAAAGTCACGCTTGGGGGATGTGGGAGGGTGGAGAATTACTAGGGGGGGGTGGGAGTTATAAGTGCTACCATAGATTAGTTGTCATCACCTCTTGCCCTTGGTTTCCAAAGCCCAGACATCTGTCCAAGGACTGGACTATATATCTGATGCCCATACGGACTCCTTTTTCTTGCAGTTCTGGCATATGTAGGTCAGAGAGACCTGTGCTCTTCACTTCAGGTTCCATTGGCCATATCATCATCTTCCAGTAAACACCTCCAATTGTACAAATAAATCCTGTTTATAAAATCAGAAAGTGAACAGAACCCAAATCAGAAACGTTTTGATAGCAATATTTTTTCCCCTGAAGTATTCACAGGCAACATTTTCACTGTTCTTTTTTCTGGGACCTGTGGCATTTTGAAAGGGAACAAGTTCTATACAGTGAACCTGGAGCTGGTCTTGGTTACTAGTAAATGCAACTTACAGTCACAGATGATGATCTGTGTTCACATGGGGTTCAACAATTGAAGCAAGTTATGTCATCACCAGTGAGGGAGGGATAGTTGATTTAGACAGTAATTTAGTGAGACCAGTTGAGTAGTTCAGTTGTTAATCCCCAAATCAGGCTACCTGCACATCTCAAGAGGGAAAGGCTAACTGACATTTGCAGCTGACTTAATCTTGTGGTAGCTCAGTGTAAACCATGATGGTAAGGCTGAACTGAACAAACTTAATTTACAGATCCCAATACATATGCTTCTAGTAACTAATTTCTTGCAGATTAAACATTCAACAGAGTTGGACAAAACATAGCTAGGGAGTCTTTACATGTGAAATATTTTCCATTGTAGTGAAAACAATAAATACTACAAAATTCAAAGGGATTTTCCTGAGAAGATAACTGACCATAATTATTTTTAATTTCTTCAATTAAACATGGGGAAAGTGCTCAGTAAATCCTGATGATTATACTTTTTTGATTGAGAGTATGTGTGTGTGTATATATATATGTATTTATGTTTGAAATTTAGTACTCAGCTTTTTTCAGTCTTAACACTGAAAGTGTGATGTCTTAGCCTTACCTGTCATCAAAAGTTGTCAGACTTTAATTAAAGGTTGAGAACTATTAAGATATCTACGGGAGGGGGGCACTTGATAGAGACTAAGTGTACTTAAATAACTATACAATTATTTACGTAAAGGAGTCATGTTAAAACTTGTTAAAATAGAACAAAAATAAGTTCTGCTCAGCTAAATGAATGAAGCAGATGATGTCTCTTGTGGAAAAATATATATAACTATTCGATATCAAAACTACTAGAAGATTAGACTCGAAGAATATATAGATTAACTTGAATGCTAAATAAAAGAACCTCAAAAATATTGGAGGGGGGAAAGACAGGACTGTGTTTTGCTTTCAAATCTTTTGTACTTTTACCTAGCAATAATAATGTCAGATGCCAGACATGTAAAAGAGATGTTCATAATATAAAATATTTAGTTCTAGTTATTTACCGTCTAAATTACTATGTTTGTAAAGTTAACATTCTGTATATCAATGTGAATTATTTCTGGTGACATTTTGTTGAGAGTATTGACCCTTTTGATTCCCTGTTAGGGTTTGAAAAATAAAGGCTTTCTAGAGTAAAAAGAAAGTACTTTTAAAAGGCCAACTTTTTAACTGAATAGTATTTTTCATTTTTTATCTATCAGTCTTTTTTGTTTTAATAAATATAAATGAACTTTGTGGTTCTCTAGTCCTGAGCATAAAACATTCAGGCAAAGATCACAGATTTTATCTCCACAAGGGCTTTGCTATAATTATAGCTTTGCTGTAATCCCTAACCCCACCAGTTGTCTGGCATATGAGTGCTCTGTGACACATAAGTATGAATGGATAGACGTGAATGGAGCAGCATAAATCCATATCTTATGGAAAAACAACTCATCAGGCTGTGTGCCCTACTGTCATAGCATCGTCTTCCTACTCAGAAACCAGCCAGCAGCATCCTCAGGAGAGACTACAAACTTTGACCATATTTGTGAAAATTTGATTTATAAACAATGAAACAAAATATGTTGAAAAACTAATATTTAAAAAATAGTCTTCAGGGACATTAATTCTTGGTAATAAAGTTAGGAAAGCCTTATCATGCAGAAGATTTGAATGTAATCATTGACATAAGTGGAGTGATGACTCCATTTATTATACTATTGTGGAGTTTTCATGTGTTTAGTATCAATAATGTTTTAGGTGTCCAGCTCTGTTAAGGTCTAGTGATTACTTAGATGTTAACATCATCTTTATCTTAAGCAGTTTGCTAGTTTGTATTATTGAATCATATTTCTACATTCCAGTGGAACTAAAATTCTTAAATGTAGAAACTCTAAATTTATAAAGATTAGGAAAGCTACCTTTTGGGAGTAAAATGAAGATTTTAATCAGAAATTAAACACATAGGTCCTAGCACTGCTAAAATATGTAATGTACAGCCTTATTCTTTTCTCCCTATATTCTCTAGGTAGTTAACACAATTTCTCTCAGCCATTTAACAGGTTATCTATTGGTTTTCACATTATACTTCATTTAGATTAATGTAAGAATTACCCCCTAGATGGAGAATTTTGAATGATGTAATAAAAACATTCGTAATTCAGGTTTTAAAACCAATTAAACACAACAACTGGGACATTCTGTATTTACTGTGGCTTTGTTTTTATAGTTGTCATTTTGTTCTTTTACATATGAACCTCTTTATATTTCATCAATTTTAACTAAATATTTTAAAATCATGTTTTATCTACAGGCCAGATGGTTTTTCTTTATTTCTGTTTTCTTATAATTAAAGTTTTCCTTTTATGCCTTTTAATTTTGAGATATCTGCAATTACCTGTGTAAAAAATCGATTTCTGGCTGTAGGAGTTATTTTCTTTATCTGACTCACCCCATCCTAACAATTATCTTTAGATCTTTTATAGCCTTTCACTGATGCTCTAAGAAATTCTTAAGGTGGTGGTTCTATTTATGTAAATAGTTGGGTTAACAAAAGGGTAGTAAATTGACTTAGAAGAATTTTTTAAATGAGAAATGGAGCTATAAAAGGTACACATACAATGTAGGTCATGAAATGCTTGTTACATGGTGCCAGTTGCCATTATGTATTTCATTACACCACAGACACCTCTGTAGGTTTTAGAAGTAGTAATCTGCATTATTGCTATGGTAAGGAGATGAAAGAACTCAGCCAGTTTTTATTAACATGAAAATTACAGTTTAATTCAGGACACTTTAAAATTTCACCTTTTAGAAACTTGTCTGAGGGAAAATGAAATTAAACATTTCCCGTTACTACACAATCGTTTTCATACATTAAGTAGCAATATAATCTATAGTGTATCAATAGAAACAAGGTTTGTTATTACAACTTGATAAGTATTCTAGAAATTTAAAATTTTTTCCTAATTTTTAGGGCTTTCAGCTTCACCTTGGTGCCTTTCCCACATTTCCGGTTTCTAAATAGTAAAGAATGATTAAGATTCTAAAGCTTCACATCATTCAGTATAATAGTCACCAGCCACTGAAAAAATCAGTTTCTTAATCACCCTAGCCACATTTCAAATAATCAAGCAAGGTTCTATTTGATAGTGCTGCTCTAAGGGATAGCTGTGGCATATTATGAGTGTTTTATTATGGATACATAACATCTGGTGTGACCCTTGAATATTGCTGGTTTGGGTATTTATAGTTGGCTTTTTATGCATTATTGCATAACCTGAGTTACCTTGAAAAGCTGGAAACAGGCTTTTATTGTAAACTTTTGAAGATCCTTAGAGGTTAAGATAATCTTGATTCATTCTATTTTGAGCATATCTTTTCATATTTAAAGATAAGAAATTAATAGGCAAATTATTTGGTAATAAATTTTTGACATGAACGTTGGCTCATTTGGTAAGCCTGTTGAAGAATAGATGAAGTTTGTACTACCCTAGGAAATAACAGTTGTGATTTTATCTAAAGTAAATATCAAGTTGTGCTATATTCCTTTCAGAGTAAGATGTGAATTTAATGTGAAACATTCTTGAGATATGAAGGAAGTTTATTTTAGGGATAAATGATGAGGCATTAGGTTACCTGCTTAATAAAGGCTAAAAGAGGAAAGATATGAAGATATAAAATCTCTACAAAGATGAATTCACAGAGAGGTATATTCATTTGCTTTCTACTTGGAAAGAATTAGTTTTCTAGGAAAGTTAGCATTTTTAGAGCCTTCAAAATATATCTTTGTGTTTAATTTGTAGTTGGAAATTAGGGATCAAGCTTTGGGATGGTAGGTAGACATGTTTTTCCCAGTATCCTCTCAGATTTTAGCCTTTTCAGAATAAAAACCTTTTTTATGACTAAGCACCCTAACACTTAGACTTATAGATTGCTATGAAAACTGAAGTAAGTCTGGGAAGGTTAATGACACAGTCTCATTTAATGTGCTTTCAAAAATTACCTTGATAATCTTACTTGACAATTTCAGGAAACATTGAAGGTAGGCCTAGGGGACATAAATTGTGACCTGAAATATCTGTGTTCTCATATAAAGTCCTGGGAATTGATCAGAAATATAGTAGAAGTGAAAGGTGAACATAAGTTTCATAGTGTTCCACTCAGATTTTGCTTACATTCTGATAGGCCTGGGAAATATTCTAATTTGTGTGGATGATTTTATAAGTTGACAAAAGATTATGATCTTTCAGTTCACAAAATTGATACAGTCTAATAAAGAATTACAGAATGAATTCAGTTTAACTTTGACTTCATTTTAAGAAAACATTGTATAAAAATCTATATTTGCTTTGTAGAAGAAAAACCTTGGTTTATCTAAAGGAACATTAGATCATTCAGCAAGTTAAAGAATTTTATGGCATGATTAAGGGGTTTTAAAGGTAGGAAAAGAAAGATTAGTAAATCCTTGTGCATGAGGTATTTCATATATAATACATAAAAAGTTAGCTTCTACTTAACTTTTTAAAAAGAAAATCCATAGCTGTTAATGATTTTACTGACTTACATCTGTCATGGTCATGCAGTATTTGTCATTTTTTGGACATGAAAACAGCAAAATTTTGCATGTCAGATAAGCATTTTACAAAAATGAAATTTTTTGGCATGAGATAACTAGAAAATAGTATAGGTAAGAGGTATTGAAAGAAAAAAGTCAGAAATTAGTAAGTTGATACAAATCAACTTGACTTCTTATTTTTAAAAGAAAAAATATCAAATACTTACCTGATAGGTGTTTCCTTCTGTAGTTAAACCTTCCACAAATCCGACAAATTGAGAATTTCCTCCAAAGGTTATTTTTTTTTAAAGTTAAAATATAAAATTTACATTTTGCTTAGCATAAACTTTTAAAAGGTAATATGAGCTTTGAGGAGGACCTAAGACTTCAGACATGTAAAAGTGTTTCACTGGATGTTATTATGGACTTCCACAGAAATATTTTAACTCCGATAATAAATCTATATAAACTGAAAACAAAAGGTTCATTTATTTATATCCTGAATATATTCTTTGAATAAATTGAGTTTTTAAGAGCAAAACCGTACCCATGCACAACTATAAGAAGATGAAAGAGATGTGCTGATGAGTAAAGGAGTGATCATAGAGCTTTTCTACTTATTCAAGAATTTTACTTACTGCTTCTGAAGGTTAATGCTAATAAGTGAGAGTAGAATGAAAAACTGCTAAGGAGTATAAAATTTGGTTCAATTCCCAGTATTATAAAAAATTTTTTGTTAATGAAGGCTAGAGATTTTTAAGTTTTTAATGGAATGTTCTATGATTATGGTTTGCTATAGTAGAAAATATACAGAATGGTTTTGCTGCCTATGATAATCCCTATGATACCTTGTAATTTACCTTAATCCTTGTCTACTTTCCAAGGTTATGTTACTTTTTTGAGTCTTTTCCCTACTTAACAAGATTATTAGTATATAAGGGTATATTGTTTTTGAAATGTAGCAACTAAAGATACAAGTGCTCTTCAGAACTTAGGGAGCTCTGGTAATTTGAGATAATTATCTATGTTTTCTTTCTTAGCCTGTGGACATCTCTACAGCAATGAGTGAACGGGCACTTGCTCAGAAAAGACTCAGTGAGAATGCATTTGACCTTGAAGCCATGAGCATGTTAAACCGAGCTCAGGAAAGGGTATGTAGCAGTTTTAATGTCTAAATGAGAATTTCACTAACTAGATGGTTAAGTTGTGATGTAATCATTTATCTTAATTAGCTGGCTTATTTTAAATGAAAATGATTTCAGGTCAGATGTTTCAGTAAATGTTTATTGTGTACTATGTGGCAGGAACTGTTTCTTGAGCAAACAGAACAAATTCCCTGCCCTCATAGAATTTACAGTCTGGGTATAAATATACCTGAGTGCCAAAACAACCCTGTAAGATGTGTTAGGTATTACTGGTTCCCATGTTTCAGTTGAGAAAACTGAGGTAAAGAATGGTTGAGTGATAACTGTTCATACAACTAGTTAGTGGGGGAACTGGGATTCCAACACAAGCAGTTTGAATCCATAGTCTTATGCTTTTGACAATGGACAGGTTATCCATTTCTCTTCTACTTTTCTTTCTATGATAAATCTATATAGAAACAGGAAGTACATGTTCAAACAGGAAATACATTAATGACAGTACAGGTGTTCAGAAAAAACAATTTGAATGAATGAGATAGCTGATTCTTTAACTGTCAGAGAAAATGTTGGTGATTGACGCAGTCCAGATTTTAAAACTTTTTAATGTATTTGGGATAGTATCCTCTATTTTTTACTCTTTAAGCATATGTCATGAGTTTATTCCTGATTTATAATATCTCAAAGGAGGTAATTAAAAATCCAGGGTATCAAGACATGTATTAGAATGCATTTTTACGAGCTAGGTAAGAAGGGAGGGTGAGAATCCTTTGTTATATGAGCTCTTTTGTACATTTTTCATGTTTCTGTAATATTTTGAAGAATATTATAGCTATGCTTTTTAGTTAGAGATATATCTCAAATCTTGTTATTAATGGGATTCACTGAATGTTAACAGACTGCTTCCTAACTGTAGCGAAATATTTAATTTTAAATATGTATGATTTAATATGTTGTTTTAAAAGTTAAATGCTTAAGTCTGTTTATAAGCCATTTTTGTTTAGTGAATTAAATTATTACCAATGGCATTTTAATCAAATAAGTAATTTTATTTAGTTAATTGGAGTGGCTTCTTTTCTTCAGATTGATGCCTGGGCTCAGCTGAACTCTATTCCTGGCCAGTTCACAGGAAGTACAGGAGTACAGGTTCTAACACAAGAACAGTTGGCTAATACTGGTGCCCAAGCCTGGATTAAAAAGGTACACAATATATGAACATACAAAAGTGTTGAAATACAAAGTTACAAAGTTTTTGGAAAATGTTTTATTAAAAATGCATGAATAGGCCAGTGACTCTAACCAAAGTTCCTGAGTAAATTTCCTGTGTGTGTATGCTCCAGGATGGACACTGAAGATGGGCTGGATTCATGCAACAATGGCAAATGTATAATTATGGCTCAAGAGCCTCTCAATTTATATCCTGAGGTTATTTTTTAAATTACGGCTGCTGATTTTGGTGGAGGTGGTGGGGGGTGTTTCTGTTTAACTCTGGTTTGAATACTAATAGCATATTAGGTGCTCTTCAGAATATTCCACAGCTCCTGTTGGACTACTAACGTAATCATTTCAAAGCAGTGATTCTCAAATTTTTCTTCATCATGGGATACTTTATTACAGGTTTGTTTTTGGTGGATCACTGCCCCCGAGAGCCCTCTACCACCCTAATTTTCCATTGGTCTATTTCTCTGTCCTTACCCTTCATTAGTTCCTGTGCCCTCCTATAAGATACCTTGGCCCCTATTCCTCTCCTCTTGTGACCTCCAGCCCCAGGTCAGCTGCTGGTTATAGCAAGTGGTTGGGAGGCCCTACTATTAGCACTGCATGTGGTGATCTTGCTATGGTACTGGAAGGCTGAGGGAGGATGGCTGGAGTGGGGTGGGCCATGCTGAAGGGTGGTGAACAGGGCGGGATGGGGATGGAGATTAATCTGTGGACCACCATTTAGGCCCTGGTGGCCTCTGGTGATCCACAGGTTCAAATTGAGAACCACTAATTTCATGGAAAAAAAAAAAAGATACATAAGACATAAAATCAAGGGAGAGGACGGACACCATGCACTATGAAGATGTAGGTGCACCTGGTTTCAGATTCCTGCCATGAGACCTGTGAACTCCATCTACAGCTGCCTCATCATTGGGGGAGTCTTAGGTGGTTGAAAAGGGCATTCTGAAGAATGTGTTCTGGTGAAGGGACGAATCTTGGTTGGATCAGTGATGGGAAATTTGTTTCAGGAGCACTGGCAGCATGCATAACAGTGCTGAAATGGGAGGCTACGTGTTCTAATAGATTGGGAAGGTTTCTTTATCCTGTTGTACTCCTGGCTCCTTGTGTGATCATGGGCAAGTAATTCTTTGGAATTTCAGTCAGTCAAGTGGAGACAAGTCCTTATTTCTGCATCAGGATTGGTAATCAATGTGATAGTTACCTAGAAAGAGTTGCTCTGGATGCCAGTAAACAAGCTAGATTTCTAAAAAATGAGATAATTGGTTGTTTTGAACTATTTAATCTTATGACATTTATTTCAGTTTTGATAGTTTTATCTCTGTTGATTCTCTTAACAAATCAATATAAAACCTACGTACTCCTTTTGCTTCCCTTTTTTGGGGAAGTAGTTGCACCATTATGTGTACAGTGAGTTCAAATTCATTAAAAAATTACAATTTAAGTAGCTTACTGGGAGGTGGTGTTAGTGTTGGAAAAAGTGGTATCTAGCAAAATATTGAAAGTTTGGATTAATTTTGGACTAGTATTTTATATTGCAGTTAAAAATAGAATGATTTATGTAGTCTTTAAAAAAATGGTTTTCATCTATCAGTGGGAAGAATTATAAAAGGACATCTAATTCTTTACTGTTTTGATTCCTTAGTACTATTTAGTCTTGTAGCTGAGTACTCTATATTTCAGGAAGTTAAAACATGAAGTTCATGGGTGTTTAAGTAGGCATATAATACACACTCATGTGCATTGCTAGGTAGAAACTTCTGAATGTGCTTCCGCTGCAAAATTTTAGTCTTTATCTTTATAATAATGTGCTGATCTATAACATTTGTATACTTTTAAATATCATGGTGACATAAGTAACTTTTACACAGTGAATCTTTTACTAATTCAATTGGCTTTCCCCTGTCCCCTAAAATAATTTTTGGTATTTTCAGTCTTATAGGCAGTTCACAGATTGAATAAATAATTTAAAATGTTTAGTAGGACCTTTAAAAAGATTTCATCCTTATATTTTATGTAAAATATACTTTGGGAAGCGAATCATTTTGATAAGTTATCATAAGATACGTGTTAGACCAATTTTTAAAATATAGAAAAAGCAACACTTTCAGGAAAGCATCCAGTTGTATAGAATTACTGAAGAATATTTGATGCTACTAATAAGGAAGAACTCCTTTTTTTATGAAAATGGGCCAGAACATGTAGAAGTCAATAGGTAACTGAAAATTTAAAATGTCATCCCTGTTGAACATCACAAATACCGTCTACTCATTAAATGTTTAGTTGTGTTTAGAAAACTTGCTCAAATGATCATTTTGGCTTTTTTCTTGCTTTAGTATAGCCTAACATCCTTGTTATGTGTTAAAAACCACATGGAATTCCAACATTCTGTGTTCTTTCTTAGATTGTTGCAGGGTATTTTTAGATTAAAAAAGAGAAGTCTTATCAGTATTATCATTTATCAGTAAAACATTTTAAATGATTATTGATTTAAAAGACCTTTCATTTTCCAAATGAAATGATTTGGACAGGACCTGATAAATTGTTTATTAATATAGTCTCATTAGATTGGCTTTTTTTTGTAAACAGCATACACACTGGGGTAGAGAAACAACAGATGAAGATATTAGAGAATGGAAACAAAATTGGAAACTTGGGTTATTTGGGGTTTATATATTGTACTGTGCACAGTTGCCCTTTTTTTTAGGAGTATTCCCTGGAAAAGAGGGGCGGATGAACCTGGAAGTAAGTAAAAGTCATTCTAGGTGTGTAGCATCAAGGCAGTTGATATCCAAGCATCAGCTAACTTTTCTCTTTATACATCTACACTGCATGGCCTGCACCAAATAAGGAACTGAACCAGGGGTATGTTTTTACCTCCACAGCTGCCTCCTTCCATCAGAGCACCTTGTTGAACTTAATGTCTAGTCACACATCATTGGCATGTTTCCTCCCCAGCATTTAATTATAAAGCTGGGAAACAAATGAGATTATACAGTTTTATTACTGTGAGGATTTTTTATATTTAGTATTAACTTATCAATATACTATTTCCTAAGCTACCAAAGGTTTTGACTCCCTCTGTTGATAAGTTAATGACTTTTGCTATATACTTATAAATGTAAACCTAAAATTTAATGGCCAAGGGGAAAATAAAGCATGATTTGGAGATAAGGCTTTTTTAAAAGCCTTAACAATCAACAGTGGAATTCAATATTGTTATATGTACATGGATGCCCTTATAGAGGCATTGAATATTTCTTAATGTGTAAAAATAGACTGTTCACCATGCTAATTGATATATAGTTGTGCATTTAGGACATTAAGTGGTTTGCTGCTTTGATGGAAATTATGGTTCAGTGGGTTGGATACAAGAGAGATGATTGTTCACAGAATAACCTGTGAACTTTCACCCCTCTGTATGGAAACTTGTTTCAGGGCCAAATCCTTGTAGCTGTCTTCTTGCCCCGGTCAGTGCCAGCCGTACTATTCACAACACTGCTGCTACCGAGGCCTAGGTATGTAAACATTTAAGGAGTTCTTTAAAAGTCTTTTAACATCAAGCTAGGTTTTAAAGGAATTCAAATTCATTTTGGTGTACTTACAGGGCATTTTATGTGATTCTCTTCTATTTATTATTACATATGTTTATTTTAAAGAGTTATCTTTTTGCTTCATAGGGATTTTCTAAGTAAAATATTTATACTTGCTTTATAGTAAAATGGGGAAGAAAACTTTGGATGACAACAGTATGCTTCTTCAGTGTCCAAACTATTTCTAAATGATTTCTGGGCTTTATTCATAAACTAGGTACACTTGGGACCATATTATTGACTGTTTTAACATTGCCTTCTTTTTATTTTGCAAGCTAAGAAGAGATACCAGTGAACCTAAATAGTGGACGAAAACAGGAGTGTTCTAATTTTTTTTTGGAGGGGGGCATGAGGGCTACTGTTTTAAAACTGCTGTTTACTTGTCTTATTTGACTTTCAAAATAATATTATGTTAATGTGAAAATAATTAGAATATACACACTATAGTATGTATTAAGAAGCATTTACATTTAATTACTATACCTGTAACAGATCTAGAAGCAAAATAAGATTCCTCTTTTTAGAAATTAACCAGTGAGCCTGTAGTCAAGTTCTAACTGTAAAATGGGGACATTTTACCTTTCTTTTCCTTGGATAGGATCAGTTCTTAAGAGCAGCCCCGGTAACTGGAGGAATGGGAGCCGTTTTGATGAGAAAAATGGGCTGGAGAGAAGGAGAAGGATTAGGAAAAAACAAAGAAGGAAATAAGGAACCCATCTTAGTTGATTTTAAGACAGATCGGAAAGGTAACAAGTTCTCTTTTGGAATGTTTATTATACCTCTTTTAACATTTAGGGTTTCATTTTATACATTCCTTTAATCCCTGTGATCCTGAACTGGAGTTATTTCTTGTGTATGTATAACTATTTGTCAGAAAATCTTTAACCCATTTTCCTACATAGCAGCTTATTTTTATGTAACTATGATGGAGACACTAGATTGAGCTTTTAATAGTCAACTATTATGGAAATGTGCATATATCTAATTATATGATTATAAAAGTAACTAGATTTCATGTTTAGAAAATGGAATTTGCATTTTATTTTCTCTTGACAGGGAGGGAATATGCTTGTCTTCTTTGTACAATTTATTTTTTGTCAGATATTTTACACATTTTCATTATTTCCTAGTAGAGTGCTGTTTTCACTTCAAAAACCTTTTTGCTTGTCCCTCTTTTTAAGCTTAATAGTTAAGTTGGTTGGGGTTGGAGAATAGTAGACCCATTGCTGACAACAGCCATCACCCTCTTGTTAACTGTCTTGTGTTAGGGCACTTTGGAACTTTTGGCATTGATTGTATTTTTCTACTATCTTCAGATACTTGGGGATTGAGAGGGATCTATATAGCCTATATGTAGTTGTCAAGTATTTAAATATATACTTAGTTCCCACAGATAACACCCCTTGGAATAATGTTTTAGGCAATGAACTGGTTTTATACCAAATATGTATTGCAAAATTCCATGTTGGAGTTGTGCAACATTAGTCTAGGTGTAAGCTCTCAAGAGAACAGCACACATTTCCCAAGAATTAATTAGCAAAAGAGTGGCTGAAAATTTTCCTATAATATATAGGTTGAGCATACTAAATCTGGAAATTTGAAATGTTCCAAGATCCAAAACTTCCGAGCGCTACATAAGGTAATGCTCAGAGGAAATGTTCATTGGAGCATTTTGGATTTCAGATTTTGGATGCTCAACCAGTAAGTATAATACAGACATTGAAAATCTAAAAAAAATTTAAAACACTTCTGGTCCCAGCATTTTGGATAAGGGATAGTCAAACTATATAGAAAATTGGAAAGCATTGTTTTTAGTTAGTAATATAGTTAGTTCTCTTTGAAATAGACCTGTGGGGAGGGAGGAGGTTATGTAGAGAAAAGTTATGTTTATATTTTGAGAACATCTCACATTTGTTAAGAAAGGGAGTGTTTGCTGAGAAAAAGGGAGGGGGGCCCATTTATCCTTTTAGACAACTGCCTTATTCACCCTTTTTTCTGGTGGCATAAAGTCCTAACCTTTTTGAGAACATACTCATAACTATTTTTTGAGATAGTAAACCTACAGAAATCACTTGTAATAGCCACTACTTTAAACTTGTAAAGAAACAGACATGGAGGTGTTGATAATTACATGGCATTTAATTTGAATATGTAATTGTATACATATTCATATATTAAATTCTTGTATTTTGTGGACATTTGCTGTTTATACAATTTCTAATACTAGCATATGAACATAAAATATAAATTCATATATTGAAACACAGCAAGAGACGTTAAAATTGATGTAGAAATCAAGTGTAGTAGGAAATTGATTTTATTTGAAGGCATGGATTTAGGTTCAGCCTCCTACAGGAGTCTTTGCTTTTCTATATTGTAATTTAAAATGATGCTTTGAAATTTAGTGAACGATGGCCCCTTTTTTTTAAAGGTCTTGTTGCAGTAGGAGAAAGAGCACAAAAGAGGTCTGGGAACTTCTCTGCAGCAATGAAAGATCTGTCAGGTAAGAGCACATTTTTGAATTCCTTCTTGTTCCACCCCTACCTTGAATTCCTAATTTGTTATAAAAGTTGTTGGAAATAATTTATAACAAGTTTATTTATTTATTTATTTTTGGTAGGCAAGCATCCTGTGTCTGCCTTGATGGAAATCTGTAATAAGAGAAGGTGGCAACCACCAGAATTTCTCTTGGTCCATGATAGTGGCCCTGATCATCGCAAACATTTTCTCTTTAGGGTAAATATGAATTTTTGTATTAATTGTATATATTAATTTGATAATTTAATGTTAGAGGGTGAGGGTTAAACATGATCACAGGATTAAGATTCTGTTTGTGGGTAGGGGTTCGTATGTGTGGGTGAGTGGTTGGGTTTTAAAATACCGAAGGGTGCTTTAATATGACTTGTGAGTATCTTACTTTAAAAAATTAGAGGGAAAATATGGGCAAAATCTGGTACACAATTTGTTGATACTTTCTAGTGGAACATGGGGAATCTGTTTAGTACTTTTATCAGGTTTTTTTTTTTTCAATTTGGAGATCTGCTCTTAATTTGCAGTCCCTTTTCCCAAATGATTTACTGCTTCTGGGTTGAAATTAATTTGACTTATATAGTATGGGTTTATATTTTTGTAAATTATTTTTCTAGCATTTAGTGAAAAAATACAAAGCTAATAGATATTAAAGTTTGATGCTGTTCTTATTGTATGTTTTTCTTGAATAGGTATTGAGAAATGGAAGCCCTTACCAGCCCAATTGTATGTTTTTCTTGAATAGGTATTGATAAATGGAAGCGCTTACCAGCCCAGCTTTGCCAGCCCTAATAAGAAGCATGCTAAAGCCACAGCAGCTACTGTGGTTCTTCAAGCAATGGGCCTTGTACCAAAGGACCTCATGGCTAATGCCACTTGCTTCAGGAGTGCCTCACGTAGATAGATTGAGGTTTTATAATAATCATTTCAGATAATTTTACTCTGCATCACAATGTATTTCCTCTTTAATGTTGTAAATATTTGGCAATTTAAGACATTGTGTAAAAAGCAATCTGTACAAACATCTCCAGGCTTTGATTTTTGTACCATGGAAATTGTATTTAACCATACAGGGTTTTGGTATGTTTATATTGTTTACCTTAGTGATGTATTTGTTTAAGTGGCTAACATCCAAACGATTGTTTGAAGGCATCAGTAATCTTCAGTGTGGAATGTTAAATAACGCTTTTATACTGTATTTTGTACTATGATGTAACTCCCCTTCCTTATGGCTAGGCTGCTGTAACACTTGCCTGTAATCAGAGAAGGGCTGTGCACCTTGTACTATTTCACAATGGGTTCTGCTGGACAGATACTGGGCCAGTGTTAATTGGGGTAATCAAGCAAGATCTGTTCCACAGGGCTAATGCCACCATCTCCCCTTAAAATTTTGTAGAGGTTATAAAAAGAAAGTGGTATGTTGTGTGATGATCAGCACTAAGTCCTGCATTCCTGTTAAAGCCACTTGGGTCATAAGGGAGTCAAAAATGAAGTCTGACTAGAATTCTACTGCAGAGGCCAAGTACATTTAGTATGGCATTGAGTTGTGATATAGTTTTACTTTGATGTGCATTTTGAATTTCAGCTACACCTAGATAGACGTAAAATGATAATTAAAATGCTGTAACCAACTTATCTAATAAAATTGGCAACCAGCCACTATTTTGTTGACTATGAGAGAAAGTTTAAGTTTATGTTAATTTTTAGGGTCTTATAGAATATTTCATGTGTATTACAGTGGTATTCATATGCTATGTCTCTAAACTTTATTTTCAAAAGCTTAAGGCCCAAATACAAACTTCTCTGGAATAAATGTGGTGTTTTTATTTTCTGGATTATAAAGTGAATACATACTTAAATACTATTATATCTTTACCCGATGCTTTTGATTTCTAAGCACTTTTATTTAAAAAAAAATTTGAATTACACACACACGCACACTCACCCATAAGCACATTAAATACTACTTTGCCGTGACAACTAAGCAGACTTTACAACTCCTCTTAAAACTATTCTATGTGGAATACAGAATAACCTTTTATCTCAATTAACACGCATTTAAAAAGACAAATTTAAATATACTTGAGAATAGAGGAATCATAAATCAGTAGGAAAGATGCTAAGGTAGAAGCATCAACAATCAGCTCAGTAGACAGTGTCTATATTCATTTTCTATCTATAAAACAAGAACCTGCTAATAGTATTAGGTAAATATTAAAGTAATATAATTTTGCCCTGGTGCTATTTGTCACAATGCCATGAGATAATTGCACATTAATTCAGTTTTCTACTCAGAAGTTAAATTTGAGGTTTTTTTTTTTTTTTTGAAAAGTGAGTTATCATCACATCTGAAAATAGTAAAAGCAGAAAATGATTTTTAAAACCTTAATGCTACTGCTCAGTGCATGTAATAAAAAGTTAATGTTTATAAACATTTCATATTTTTAAGTATATTCCTTTAACTTCAAGAATCTTGACTTTCCTTGCTAGAAGGCTTTTTTCCTCAAAGATTCCTTTTAGGCTTACTTTGGTGTTCAGGATCTCCAATTATAAATGTAGTCTCTCATTTCCACATTCCGTAAAGATGATTTTCCCAGGGATGGTATTTGACTAAGTTGCTCCAGAGTCTTAGGGTGTAAACCACAGTTAGCAAGCTCCTTATGAACAACCTCCTGTTTAGTAAAAAGCACATTATTAGTCTTTGAACACTCGAGAGTTTTATTACCATGGAGACTTTGACAAATAAATGGCTCATTCCCATAACTCATCCTATTGATAGAAGTTGATCCTAAGAATTTCTGCAGTGACAAAAATCCCAAAATACTGATGTTGGTTACTTTTAAAATAAGTCTACCAAACTGGTAAGTATGAGGCAATTTTCAGTCTTAATAGGTATAACTCTAAATAAAAACTTCAAAATTGAAGGCAAATAAAGTAAATACCCATAGTGAATCAGGTTTCCTTAAATTACAAAGCAATCAGGAACTTATTATTTTGGATCTGAGAGGACAATGAAAAATACTGTCTCGAGTTCGGGAAGTTCTGTAGTCACTACTACAAGTACAAAGGACTGAATAAAATTTATCTCACAAAAATTAGGTATAGAAGACATTCCTCTTAGTAATTCGTAACTGATAAAATTAAGTAGTAACAGTTCTATAACTTGAAACAAAATGGAATGACCCACTTCCTCCAGCTAATTTGAGGAAACTACAACTAAAATAGTATGTTTATGGGTGTCTACTTACCTTATGCAGTACTTTGTCCACTGGCAGGCAGATATTAAATACAGCAGTTGGGTCATGTGGATACAGTCCTACGCAGAAAGATCCGCTCTGTGAAGATTTGAGTAGCATGGTCACAGAATGTAGAAAATGAGGCATGACAGGACCTGTAATCTCCAAACTAAACTGATCTTTATATCCAGAAAGAGCTTGTGTCTTCACATTTACACTTCGTGCCTTCATGAAAATTTAAAGAAAAAGAAAATTATGATCACCATCTCCCCAGCTTTTCTCCCCTAGCTAAAAATGTGTTCAATATTTCCATTTGGGGTTTGTTCTCTTTAATAGTTATGGAACAAGAGCATTTTCTGGCTGGGCATGGTGGCTCATGCCTGTAATCTCAGCACTTTGGGAGGCCAAGGTGGAAAGATTGCTTGAGCCTAGAAGTTCAAGAGCAGCCTGGGCAACATACTGAGACCCTGCCTCTACAAAAAGTAAAAAAATTAAAATACAAACGTTAAAGTTGTAAAAAATTTTTTCTAAGACATCTAAACAATGTTATGTGAGTAAAAATGTTTACTAAATAACGTCTCCAGCACAATCTCCAACTCATGAGATTTTCAGTTGAAGTATACTCTACAGTCCCCAACCCACCAGGCTGCAGCTGTGTACTGGGCTACATAGCAAGAGGTGAGTGGCAGGAGAGCAAGTGAAACTTCATCTCTATTTACAGCTGTTCCCCATCACTCCCATCACCGCAATAGCTCTGCCTCCTGTCAGAGCAAGAGCAGCATTAGATTCTCAGAAGAGTCTGAAACCTACTGACAGCTGCATGCGAGGATCTAGGTGGAGCTGAGGTAGTGATACTAGCATTGGAGAGCGGCTGCAAATACAGATTATCATTAGCAGAGGTTGGACTGCGTAATAAATGTAATGTGCTTGAGTCATCCTGAAACCATCTCCACAGCCACCAGTCCATGGAAAAACTCTCCAATGAAACCAGTTCCTGGTGCCAAAAAGGTTGGGGACCGCTGTTCTAGAGAATATAATTTTTTTGTATAGCATCTTGATTTCATAATCCACTGTCACTGCAGAATATTGGAAAAATACTTTCTTTGAAATAATTGTCTTATATCAAAGGTTTTTGTGGCTTGTTAAGGGAGGAAAGTAAAGTTAAAATATGTAGCAAGTTAAATGCTAGGAGTTACTTAAGCAAACAAATCAAGAATTTACCCTATGAAAAAAAGTAAAGTACTTAAAACTAGGCTGTAGGGACTGAAGTTTTGAATATCTTTATTACCTTAAGCATTTGCATTGTGGCACCTCGGAAAGCTGTAGGAGCTAAGAGGGTTGGTGGCAGTCCTGCCTGTGGACCTGAGGTAGCAATTAAACTCTTACAGTTGATCAAAAAATTGAGCAATGTGAAGGTATTGATTCCTTTCACCAACACAACAGACTCAGGTCTGTGATCCATTTGTACTTCATGTTTCTCTTTACGTCTGGAGGTGACAATTAAGGAAATAGCAAAAGCAAATCCCACACTAACGTGGAAGGCAGTTATCTGGATTCTGAATCACACAGGACCCTTTTCTCCATAACAAAATAGAACGCTCATGCTATCACTCTTCACTGCAGTCATAAGGCATATGTTTGAATCAAAATGTTAACTATCTGCATTTACTAGAAAACAATACCAAATAAAAAATATTTCTTCTCTAGTCAAAAATATACCTGTGTTCCCACAAATTTAACCAAAATTCAATGTTCTCACTAAAAAAAGTTTAATAGTTCACAGTTTATTGATACTTAGGGGCTTGTTAATGTTATAAGGGAGAATCAGTTTTAATATAATCTGAATGGAATTTAAGTTTATATTCATATAAAACCACCAGCCAATGTTAAATTCCTAACTTAATTCAACAAAATTTAATTCTAGTCAATAGCAACTGAAAGGATACAGCTTGATAGAGAGTATGTCTGGTTTTTTAATTTTATCTTGCACACCCATTTCTTCCAGCCAGGAAAAACTTTCCTCTTCATCCTCATCACTGATTACTTGTTCCCTAGGAAATTGCTATAGTTATTAACTCTACAAATCTATTTCACTGAGTCTATAAATCATTAGACAATGTAAAAAGTTATTTTAATCACATACTCCCCGTATCCCAAGCTTGCTCCAGATGTTCTCTTCTTACGGCCATTTTCTTTTACTAAAGGCAGAGAAAATTCAATACCTACATGAGAGAAAAAAATTTACCTGAGTTTTTTAAAAAAAGTATTTAACAGATGTGCCCTACTTTTAGAGTGTAACAAATTTGAAATGTGAGTTTTTACACTTGCTCTATGAAGGCAGTGGTTTTCAAGCTTTCTTTCTTTTTTTTTTTTGAGACAGAGTATCACTTTGTTGCCAGGCTAGAGTGAGTGCTGTGATGTCAGCCTAGCTCACAGCAACCTCGATCTCCTGGGATGAAGATCCTACTGCCTCAGTCTTCCAAGTAGCTGGGACTACAGACGTCTGCCACCATGCCTGGCTAATTTTTTGTATATATATTTTTATTTTTTTAGTATACATATGCAGGGAATGTATATATATATATATAATATATATATTTTAGTTGGTCAATTAATTTCTATTTTTGGTAGAGACAGTGTCTTGCTCAGGCTGGTTTTGAACTCCTGACCTCGAGCGATCCGCCCGCCCCATCTCTCAAAGTGCTAGGATTATAGGCATGAGCCACCGCGCCTGCCCCAAGCTTTCTTAATAGTACTCCACAACACACAAACCTATAAACACAGACATCTCCTAGAAACAAAAGGCTTAGGACACAATACATACACGTGATATTCTTTCATATATTTTATTCCAGTTCACTTTTTAAAAATGTGTTGATTGGGACCAATAAATAGATTTCATGATCCACTAATGTGTTTTATTTAAGAGATCAGAGGGGGAACACCATTAACTTAAAGCTATGTAAGGAACAGCTTAAGTAATTATAGGAAGAAAAACCCAAAATAAAGAAATAATACATTTCTTAAAATAATATTGGTAATCAATTGATAAAAGACAACTCAAATTTCAGCTTTTAAGGCAAGAGTTTATTATATAGTCTAGTAAATCTAAACCTAAACTTTTACCTTCATTTTTCATAGCTTCTCTTAAACCTCGAGTTGTAGGAGATACGAGAGCTGTGATCACATCACTCCCTGCTAATCCTGCTGCTCGGAACAAGACAGTAAACTGATAGGTACAAACGTAGAAATAGGGGCAGAGTTTTGTCTTCAGCAGATTATATAGAGAAGTAAAACTCACAGACCTACAAAACAAAAAAATGTTCTTTAGCAATTATTAAACATTTAACTCAGCAGTCCCCAACCTTTTTGACACCAGGGACCAGTTTCATGGAAAATAATTTTTCCACAGATGGGGCAAGGGAGGCGGACCTCAGGTGGTAATGCAAGCAATGGCTGTAAAAACAGATGAAGCTTCCTTCCTGCCGTGTGGTCCCCCATTCTCTGTTCCTAAGTTTCATGGAAGGTGATTTTTCCATGCATGGTTGGGGAAAGAGGGCAGTGGTGGTGACACTCTTTGGCCAAGTCCCTAATAGGCAGGTAGTTGGGGACCACAGATTTAACTCAATGGTTAAAATATAACTTCGTATAATTCAGTTTAATTCTTAACCTGGTTTAAAACACAACACAAACATATCAGATACTAGTTTGAATTTTTGTGGTTATATACAACTTAGCTATAAAGGACTGAAATTGGTAATGGGGATGTGATGACTTCTCTATACTTTAACAAATAGTATTTACTAAACACTTATCATTTTTACTTTAAACAAGACATAATTAATAATTCGTTACTTTCTCTGAGCAACTTTTGCTGATTGAGAAAAGGAAACAGCCACTGACAAGAAGACACTTAAAGAATTATGTTTGTATAGATTTATGAAACTTTTATATACTCCACGACTGGGTAAAGAGTGAATAAGAGGTTAAAAAAAAAAAGTAAATTTTACATGTTGGTTATGAGCAGTTTCAGATAAAATTCAGAAGGAAACAATATCCTTCTGCAACTATGCATATCTACATCACAAAATATGATAAGGAGAGAATACTGCTAAGATGAAAATTCACTGTTGGATTACACAGCTTTTTAAAAAAATTTATCTTACCAGTCACTCATTAAAACGTGTTGCAGTGTTTCATCATTTGACCAAGGGTTTGTCTTTCCAGCCATTTTCCTATCAGCTCCAATACGAGGGAAGAGTGGAAGCCAAGGCAAGGCAGGGTGGAGCCAGTAGATAAGGCTCTGTTGGAAGGCACAACGGAGCTCAGTGGAGAATTTGGGATCCTAAAATCCAGAGGTGACAGTGGGCGGTTTTTGCTCCATGAGAAAGTAGAATTTCATTAACGGCACAATGAATATACCACACACTTAGTCTAAGAATCTTTACTGCTTTCTATAGGAAAGCATTAATTACTATTATAGGAGGTAAAATGGAGATTATTCTTATTTCAGAAACCCTTTCTGGCAAGAAATTTGTCTGTTAAACCATGTGTCAGAAGGAACACTTAAACACAGATGGGAACTCCCCTGTCTCTACCATCCTTGAGAACAAGGACTATCTTTTTTATCATGAGGTGTGTGTGGCTGTATGAGTTGGTATCATTATGTTCGACACCCCTCTACTCCACACGCCCCTGCCCCGACAAAACACCGTTTCAAAAGTAGCCAGCAAAAACTAATAATATGAATCACAAATCATCCTCATGTATTTATTGAAAAAATGTACGTAACAAGACCTCTTCTAGGTAATCCTTTTTAAACTAGTTTGAGTTGATGTGATACTTCAAAGCAATTGCACTATATTTCTCTAAAACCATTTTATAACTTACTACCACCACTAAATTTACAAGAGACCATTATGGAGGTAGCAAGAATCAGTGTGTATAAAAAAACCAAAGTATATATAAGAAAATCAGTAAAATCCATTTGTTCTTGCAATTCTACTCAATTCCTTTTCATTTATTTTCCTTGTATTTTCTTTCACAAAAAGCTTTAGAAAAGAATGGTTTAGTTCAAACAATTCCTGCCTGCAACATTGATTAATTCTCAGGGCAGGTCTCTAAATTTAATGGGCAGTTAAATCACATAAAAGGCTGTATGAAAGCACTATTTTGGAAAAACAAAATTTCCCAAGTCTTTGTACCCTTAAATGTCTGAAGAAAAACTTAATGGAAAGCAATATCTCTCATATTATACACAGAAAAACATTTGTTACTTTAACACATAGCTGTTTTATTTCAAAATTACCTGTATACTTTCAGGCAAAGTAACTTCTGTTGCCCTACAATGTTGGACAAGCCCTTGAGCCTCTTCCTGTGCTTTCACATGCTCTGCCCAGGTAAAGGGTTGAGAAGAGGTAAAAAGAAGTCGAGTTTTAATACTCCAATCCACAGGTAACTCAGTACTTTCTGAGGATGGAATATCAGATTTGGAGAATGATATGTGGGGAGTCTTTTAGAAAAAAAAAAAGAAGACAAAAATTAGTAGAGTGGCAAGAAAACCTTCAACCTAAACAGTTCATTAGCTAACATACCAATATATATGAAAAGTCAAAATTATATAAACTATATAATAAATAACATTAAATGTATACTATACACATTGTGAAAAAGTCTGAAAGCCACCACACTAAACTTTTAACAGTAGTTTCCTCTTGGAAGCAGGAATTTGTTGTTGGGGTGGTAGGAGCAGAGGGGTGCATTTCACTTTTTAGTTTATACAGTTCTTTATAATACTACAGATGTTGGTATCAAAGTAGAAATCTTCCAAGTATTTATAAAAGCACATTTTAGGCCTCTTAAACTCCTAAAGCAAATCTAAGTTGCTCTTTCTGCAGGTAACTTAGGGCCCTTAAAGGCCATGTATTTAAAAAAATTTTTTTTTAACCAAATGGCCATTATATAAAGGCCATATTTAAGAAACATTTCCAGACCTCAAATATTTTCCCTCAATCTGTTTGCTGTGTTTTCAGGTCAATTTTCTACATACTATAAGGATTCTTTTAGGTGATATCACAACAAAATATCAGGGAAGGGGGAATTATCTCCATATGAAGGCCATTTATTTATAAGGGAGAATGGGTCTTAGGAACTCTTCCAGCCTGTTCCCATTAGGACAAACTGCATTTATCAAACTAAGTATAACAGGAGTACTTGGAATAGAAACAAGTGTGTGTGTGTGCAGACATGTGCTGGGGGAGGGGAATGAAGTTCAATGCTATGCCACAACTTGTGGTGGTCATCTGGGAATTTGGTTTGAAGATCTGGTAAAAGATGAAGTTCAAAAAGTAGCTCAACCTGGAGGGGTTGACTCTGAGTGATGAGCTGGAGGAGTCAATTATCCAAAGATGAGTGTTAAAAACTGTTAGGTAGAAGGAAAAATGCACATCTACTAGGTCTCCTGTAGTGTTGGATGTCATTACAGACATCATTACTATACCACTCCAAGTCCTCTACCTTGGCTGATGCCATCTTTTCATCTCCAGTAGATATGATCACTCTCAAGCCTCCCTGTAAAACCACTTTCCAAGCAAAATGCTTCTAAGTATAAATTCATAAAAATCTACACTATAATGATATTTTAACAAGTATTACCTGGGGTATTTCAGTAACAGTTGTTCTTTCAGGAAACGTCTCTTCCCATAGCAAATCATTTTCTTGATTAGACTCTAAAAACTGAGGTTAAAAAATTGTCGTTTTTAACTTAAACGATGCTTACTCAAGTTTGCTTTCAACATGTACAGAGCCTCATCTTGCATACAGGTTTTTCAAAGTAAATGCAATCGCACCCAAATTCATACACACCCAAATCAATCGAACAGAGTTCACTTCGTGCCTGAAGTGAACTTTTGTGCCTGAACTTCAGAGAGAGGGTCTGGCTTTGTCACTCAGGCTAGAGTGCAGTCGCAAGATTACAGCTCACCCTAACCTCATCCTCCTGGGCTCAAGCCATCCTCCCACCTCAGCTCTCAAGTAGCTAGCACAACCACATCGGCCTAGTTTTATTTTTTGTAGAGATAGTCTTGCTATGTTGCTCAGGGTGGTCTCGAACTCCTGGGCTCAAGCGATCCTCCGGCCCCGCCTCCACAAGTACTGGGATTACTTACAGGCGTGAGCGCGCCCGGCCTGTGTCTTAACTTTAGTATCAAAATCAGAGGGGAAAAACGCCGGTGTATCACACCAAAAGTTCCAAAAAGTTCTGAGGAAAGGAAAATGCTAGTAAATTCTGACTCCCATGAATCAAAATTCTTCCATCCCAGAATAAGCCTGAATGACAGAAGAGAGCCCCTGAATCACGGTGGGAAAGCAGGGTCTCGTAACTTGCCCCATCGAACGGCTGCCTTCCAGGATGGGTTGTTCCAAGGATTTTTTCACCTATCTTCCAATTATCTTTAAGCCCTCTAAAAGGGGGCTGCGAGCTGGATCCCTGCATGGGTGGCCCACTCCGGCGCGCTTCACTTTCCCCGAACGCCACGCCGCGCCAGGTCAGCATCCCTGTAGCGGGGCGGCTTGCGGGACGCACTGCCCACAAACCCGACCTTTCAGAGGAGACGCTGCTCCCGCCGTGAGGCAACCCAAGGCCACAGGGTGGCCGACGCTCTTCGCGCCCATTTCCTAGCCCCGAACGCGAGACCTTCCCAACCCCGATTTCACAGCTGGGTCAACCCACGAAAGACAAGAGCCCCCAGCTGCCTGGCGCGAACACTCACCGGGCCCGGCGCCTCCTGCTGGCCGCCAGGCGGCCCGTCGGGGGGCTCCGCGGCGACCCGCGGCCGATTGTCTAGGCGAGCGAAGGGGTTCCTTCGGGCCGCGGCGGGGCCGCCGGCGCCGCCGCCTCTGCCCACGGCGGCCGGGAAGGGGCGGAGGGGCAGCCCGGCCGCCAGGGCGGCGCGGCGAGGAGCCGGCTCGGGCAGCTGAGGAGGCGGGGAGACTGCGGCCCCGTGGTTCCGGGCCCTCTTCCGTCGGAGCCGCAATATCTCGGGCGGCTTTTTGAAACTGGGAGAGTAGCCGGGCACCGACAGGGCCATAACGCGCAGCTACCGAGGCCCGCCAGCCGCCTCACAGGCACTTCCCGCGCGGGCTCGCCCCGCCCCCGATGTGGCGCCGCGCCGAGCGGAGGCCCCGCCCCCACGTGCCGCCTGGCGGAGCATGCGCGATAGGCCGCACGCGAGGCCCCGGCCTCGGCCGCTTTAGTCGGAGACCGCCTTCGCCCCCTGGCCCAGTCTTGACCCCGCCCTGGCGCTGCTGCTTGGTCCTCGGCCATAGTCCAGTCGCCAGATGTGGCACGGCAGGGAAACATGCGGCTCAGGGTACCGGTGTGCAGTACTCCGTTGGGCACCGAAATAGCTGTTCGTTATTTAAGCCCCAAGCAGGGATGTGATCAGCCCGGAGTATGGCGCCGGGATGGAAAGGAAATGTCATACTTGAGCGGCGGTGATGGACTGCTGCTTCAAAAATTTAGGAAGGGCAATGGCTATGGCTCAGTCAACAGGTGGCGAGAGGGAGCTCGACCTCCTCCCGAACCTCCTCAAAATGGAGAACTCAGGAAATCGGCCTGCTTGCTATGCAAGCACAGCCTCCCTGCAATCCCCAGAGCCTGGCCATCCGAACCCTCCATGCAAACATGCTGCCACTGCCACTGGCGAGTAACTATGATCCTCTTGTTTGATCCTAGGGAAATTCAGAGTGAGCGAATATTTGAAAACAAAATTTAAGTGCCTATGGGCTAGATCCTTTGAGACCTGAACATACATTCAAATGTTTAAATTATGACAGCAAAGGTAGTAAAGGCATATTAAGGAAGGAAGATATTGAGAACGTTGCTGATACAAAATTAACGTTATTTTGATAGTTTAGCAAAGGCCTGTAACAGCTTTATCAATATAGTATGGCTTTTGCTGAAAGCAGCAATTTTCTTCATGGAAAGAATGTGATAGCAGAGGCAAAATGTATAGAAACAATAATTAAAAAGGTTTTTAGACTATCCCTTTAGATGTCATAGAATTATCTTGATCGTCTGCACAATAATTTTTCAAATACTTTTCAAATGTGTCCTATAACTGAGCATATTGTCTTATACAGCAGGAAAACATGCTTAAAACCAGAACTTGCTTTTATCTTCCTTAATTTTTCTCAATAATTTCCAAGGAAAACTCTGGCTTCAAAGGCAGAATGGGTTCATCCAATTGAAGTTTTGAGAAAGAAGAAAATTAAAATTGAACGACTTGCTTTTTTCTTCCTTGATTTTTCTGAACAACTTCCATGGAAACTTTCGCCTCATATAGTGGAATGGGTTCATCCAACTGAGGTCTGAGGAAGAAGGAAATTATTAGAAATGCCAGGTCTAGATAAACATGAGTAGAACCCAAAGGGTGGTAGATGACCACTGCTATAGCTCAATTCCATTACTTTCTTTTTTTTGTTTTTACTTGTTGGTGCACGAGAATCCATTACTTTAAATAATTCAAATATTCATTAGTATTTCCACTGTTAAGGTGATTAAGTTTTGAAGGGAAAAATATCTATTATATGCACTACCTCTTTTATGAGTGATAAACAGATCCAACTTAAAAAACATAGCGTTTTCCTCTTTGCAAGCTACGGGTCATTTTACATTGCTTTGGAAGGGGTGATGAGGAAAAGCACAGTGAAGAGCAGTATAGAATGGAATGAGAAAACTCACAAACCTCTTCTGTCTTTGGAAATACTGGTGTGCCATCAAATACACTTTGAGAAATATTAAAGAATAGCTATTTAAACCATAATAGCTATTTAAACCAAATAATAAAATATGGAGGCAATAGATATACTGTGAGAACTGAAACAAAAATGGAAATACCCATCTTATCTCCTTGAGAATAGAAAAATAAACAAGAACAATGATTTGGTTACTTTAGCATACCTAAAAACACCAGTTGATAACTTCTCCATCACATCTTTTAAGATACGTAGCTGGAAGGATTGTTAAGGTGCCAATGCAAAGGAGAGAGGATTAAATATTAATAAAACTGTTCAATAAGCTGAAGATGTTAGGCAAGTCACTTTTTCCCTGAAGTTTTACCCTCTTAGAGATTCAAAATGTTTAGTTACAGAAATTCTATAAGCTGTTGAGTTTACTTCTAAAACAGGGAAATGATTTGAGACAGCTGGTGGTGTAATTGAGCCTAAACTTCTAAGGGTAAATGGTAACAGCAGCAAGTCTACCACCTGTCCTAAGTGATGACCATCATTATCCCAATGGATGGTAATGGAATAGTGTCTAGTTTTCATTTCTACACTACATATGGCATTTTTATTTAAAATCAATTTTAGCATTTTTATCTTACTTTACATGTACATTTATTGACTAATGTGGTTGATGACAGGCTCGAAATTTATTTGCAGAAAAGTTTAATAAATGGTGTGTATGATATACAGCTGTCCCTTGGCATCCATAGGGGATTCATTCCGGGATCCCTGAGAATACCAAAATCTGTGGATACTCAAGTCCCTTACTTACTTACTTGACTTACTCAAATAAGACTTACTCAAGTCCCTTATCTATACCATAAAATGGTATAGATTTTGCATATAACCTATTCATACCCTCTTTAAATCATCTCTAGATTACTTATAATACCTAATGCAATGTAAATTCTATGTAGTTATTATACTATATTGTTTTCTTACTTGTATTATTTTTTGTTGTATTATTATTATTCTTTTGCTAGAGATGGACTGTCACTCTTTTACCCAGGCCTGAGTGCAATGGGATGATCACAGGTTACTGTAGCCTCAAACTCCTGCGCTTAAGCAATCCTCCAGCCTCAGCCTCCCAAGTAGATAGGACTACAGGTTATATTGTTTTTTTTTTTTTTTTTTTTTTTTTTGAGACAGAGTCTCACTCTGTTGCCCGGACTAGAGTGCCATGTGTCAGCCTAGCTCACAGCAACCTCAAACTCCTGGGCTCAAGCAATCCTTCTGCCTCAGCCTCCCGAGTAGCTGGGACTACAGGCATGTGCCACCATGCCCGGCTAATTTTTTCTATATATTTTTAGTTGGCCAATTAATTTCTTTTCTATTTATAGTAGAGACGGGGTCTCGCTCTTGCTCAGGCTGGTTTTGAACTCCTGACCTCGAGCAATCCACCCGCCTCGGCCTCCCAGAGAGCTAGGATTACAGGCGTGAGCCACCGCGCCCGGCCAATTTCCAAATATTTTTGATCGTCGGTTGGTTGACTCTGTGTATGTGGAACCTGCAGATACAGAGGCCCAACTGTGTATCACTAACAAAATCAGAGAATGATATAAAAATTAAGAAAAAAATCTATCTTGGTAATTAACTGAAATTATAATATTGGGATAGAGAGTATATGTAAGCCAAATTATAATATTGGGATCAAGAGTCTAATACTGTAGAATTATTTATGGCTTAGAATCACACAGTAGGAAGTAGATGTCTAGGCAGCAACTAGCTCATGTATGAACTGACTGAGGGGGGTTTGTACAAGTGAGAACTAAAGTCCAATTCAGGATTTCAGAAAAAGCAAATTAGAAAATGTGATCATAAATCATTTTAAAGTTAAAAAAAAGGACCTAAGGAATATTACAATAATTCACTTATTCATATCTCTGCAAGTTCTCTTTCTACTTCTGTTAATGAACCTGCCATCTGTGTGTGTGTGTCTCTCTGTGTGTGTATCTATGTGTGAGAGAAAATATAGCGTATGTTTCCAATTTTGGAAAATTTAATATTAGTTCATAAACATATTCTGTTTCAACCTGGTCCAGGGATTTGTTAAATAGGTTAAAATCACTTTCTCATGGAGAGAGGGGATTTGAGATAATTAAGGTACACAATACACACCAAACAGTTTAGCTTCTAAAATGTAAGATTCAAAACATGCTAACTAATGTTACTTCGAATAGCTATATGGTGTTCTTTACTTTAGGAACTCATTATTCTTGATAATTAATGTTATTGGACATGTACATTTTAAAAAATGAAATTAAATAAAAATTCTTTTCAAAAGTTAAAAGTGTATTTTCCAAATTTAATAGGAAAATATTTAATAAGAAATAGTTTAGGCCAGGCGCGGTGGCTCACGCCTGTAATCCTAGCACTCTGGGAGGCCAAGGCGGGTGGATTGCTCAAGGTCAGGAGTTCGAAAACCAGCCTGAGCAAGAGCGAGACCCATCTCTACTATAAATAGAAAGAAATTAATTGGCCAACTAATATATAGAGAAAAACTTAGCCGGGCATGGTGGCGCATGCCTGTAGTCCCAGCTACTCGGGAGGCTGAGGCAGAAGGATTGCTTGATCCCAGGAATTTGAGATTGCTGTGAGCTAGGCTGATGCCACGGCAATCACTCTAGCCTGGACAACAAAGCGAGACTATGTCTGTCTCAAAAAAAAAAAAGAAAGAAAAGAAACAGTCTAAACTCATACATTTACTACATGAAGGGGTTTTGTTTTTTTATTTTATTTTATTTTTTGAGACAGGGTCTCACTCTGTTGTTGAAGCTAGAGTGCCAAGGCGTCAACTTAGCTCACAGCAACCTCAAACTCCTGGGTTCAAGCAATCCTTCTGCCTCAGCCTCATGAGTAGCTGGGACTACAGGCATGCGCCACCATGCCCGGCTAATTTCTTTTTTCCTATATATTTTTAGTTGGCCAATTAATTTCTTTCTATATTTAGTAGAGAAAGGGTCTTGCTCTTGCTCAGGCTGGTTTCAAACTCCTGACCTTGAGCTATCTGCCTGCCTCAGCCTCCCAGAGTGCTAGGATTACAGGCATTAGCCACTGCACCTGGCCCATGAAGGGGTTTTGTAATCTCCTTAAAACACAACACATGCAGTATACTAATTACATATTACTATTTTAAAGCTTTGAATTAAGTATGTCATCCCACTTAGAAAGGGCTGGCCTTTTTACATGTACATATACATATATAACTACATACATTTAACAAATGTGAATAAAGTATGATACTCAGTGGAAACAAATGTAAGGTATACAAATCTCTTTCTTCATACACATCTATACTCTATTAAATAATGAAGACTTATTTTTTATCCAATATATTAAAGTTTGTATCAAGTGTAGCTGCCTTTAAAATACTCATTTGAGAAATATGGCCAGGCACGGTGGCTCATGCCTGTAATCCTAGCACTCTGGAAGGCTGAGGCAGGAGGACTGCTTGAGCTCAGGAGTTCAAGACCAGCCTGAGCAAGAGCAAGACCCCGTCTCTACTAAAAATAGAAAGAAATTAATTGGCCAACTAAAAACATATAGAAAAAATTAGCCGGCATGGTGGCATGTACCTGTAGTCCCAGCTACTTGGGAGGCTGAGGCAGGAGGATTGCTTGATCCCAGGAGTCTGAGGTTGCTGTGAGCTAGGCTGACACCACAGCACTGTAGCTTGGGCAACACAGGGAGACTCCGTCTCAAAAATAAAATAAAATACCCATTTGAAAATAAAAGGAATTCTTAAGGTAACCATGCTCTAAAGAGGTTCCGACTTTTCCTTTTAGAATTGTTTTTATATTCTCATAGGAAAACTTTTTATTACTTTTACCAAACTATAATGATTTGGCTTCACTTATCAGATCTATCTCTGAATGACTTCTGTTTTTAAAAATCATGAGGTGGGAGGATCACTTGAGGTCAAGAGTTGGAGACCAGCCTGGGCAATACAGCAAGACCCCTTCTCTATAAAACAAAACATTAGCTGGGTGGGGTGGTGCATACCTATAGGCCCAGCTACTTGGGAAGCTTAGGCAAGAGGATCTCTTGAGCCCAAGAGTTGACAGTTACAGTGTTACAGTGAGCAATGACCCGGCTACTGCACGCTAGCCTGGGCAACAGAGCAAGACCCTGCCTCAGGAAAAAAAAAAAAAAAAAAAATCAAACCCATCCCCCCATCCTCATTTGTTGAAGATTTCTTAGCATTGGTATTTATAAAACATCCCACAAACTCTTTAATTTAGATAAATATTCTGAAATGTTTTGTTCAATGGCACCATCAAAGAAGTGTGCAACCACTAAAAGTGATGTGTAATTTCCATAATGTCAGTTGACAAACATAAAAAGAGAAAGTCATCCATGTATCTTATGACTTATCTCCTATTCAGAAAGGAGTGAGACTGCCTGGATGTGATTTCTGTTCTGCCATTTGCTGTGTTCTTGGACATATATTAACCTTTCTATGCTTCTGTTTCTTCACCTGTGAAATAAGGATAACGATAGTACTAACATCTAAAAAGGCTATTTTAATGTTTAAATGAATTAATACTTGCAAGGTACTTGGAACATTGTTTGGCATACTCAATAAAAGTTAACTGCTATTATTATTTCCTGTTATCATAATGAAAGAAATTATTAGTAGAGTACATGGCAAATTTCAAGTCAGAAACTGAAGTCAGCAGATAAAAAGGATATAAAGATATTTTCCCTGTTGTACATTTGACAGATTCCAAACTTCATCATTAAGGAAAGCTACCGTTGCTCCCTTGAGGAAAAGACAATGGCTGTCTGGAGGATCCAACTTGGATAGAATAAACAAAGACTGATCAATTACTGTGAGTTGAAGGATTGGTATCTTGAGACAGAAAAACTTCTATATAAATTAGACAACATCACAAACAATCATCATACAAACTTTAATTAATAACAACAGGTAAAGTATAATGTTTTCTTTTCTTTTCTTCTTTTGGAGACAGAGTCTTGCTGTGTTTCCCAGGCCAGAGTGCCATGTCATCAGCCTAGCTCACAGCAACCTCAAACTCCTGGGCTCAAGTATCCTCCTGCCTCAGCCTCCTGAGTAGCTGGGACTACAGGTGAGTGCCACCATGCCTGGCTAATTTTTTTCTATTTTTAGTTGTTTAGCTAACTTCTTTCTATTTTTATTTAAAAAATTTTTTTTTTTGAGACAGAGTCTCACTCTTTGCCTGGGCTAGAGTGCCATGGCGTCAGCCTAGCTCACTGCAACCTCAAATTCCTGGGCTCAAGCAATCCTTCTGCCTCAGCCACCCAAGTAGCTGGGACTACAGGCATGTGCTACCATGCCCAGCTAATTTTTTTCTATATATTTTTAGTTGGCCAATTAATTTCTATCTGTTTATAGTAGAGATGGGGTCTTACTCTTGCTCAGGCTGGTTTCAAACTCCTGACCTTAATGATCCTCCCGCCTCGGCCTTCCAGAGTGCTAGGATTATAGGTGTAAGCCACCACGCCCGGCCCTTTCTATTTTTGGTAGAGACAGGGTCTCATTCTTGCTGAGGCTGGTCTCGAACTCCTGATTTCAAGTGATCCTCCTGCCTTGGCCTCCCAGAGTACTAGGATTACAGGCGTGAGCCAGCATATTTCATGGTTCAAAATGATGAAATAGTGTGGTGATAAGTATATTGCAGAATCCTGGATTCATCTAGAATCCTGGTGATTAAGTGGCAGGGGTATGTGTCTTTTTTGGCTACTACTTACCAGTCACTTTCATGAGGATGTTAGAAAATCAATGCAGAATGACATATGAGAATTATGATATTTGAATATCAGCCATGATATAAATATTTAATTAGAATTCTGTTGAAAAACATAACTTTGGGAGATATCTATATATATATATAATATAGTAGTTCTAATTTTAATAATTAGGAAATTGTGGTAATTTTATACAGAAATATTTTGCTAAGTATATGTCAGTATGGAAAAAAATGCTATTTGAAATGCCATTAAAAAACCCATAAGCCACTACTTCCAAATCATTAAATAAAATTATAATTCATTCTAGTTTAGAGAACTTCTCTATTAGGCAGTATTTCAACATTTTGGCCAACATGTACCTAAAATTTAAAAAATGCATTTCTTTAAACATAGAATATAATTCAAAATTTATACTAATTTAGCCATACCTTGCTTCAAAAAAGACTTTGGCATTATTGTTAATTATACTCCTTTTGTGTAATGGTAGTAATAGTAATGTTTTATTTTTCTGAAAATACCTGAAGGTTTTCTTCTGTTGTTACCCAATGGCCTCCAACACCAAGAAGTGTGATGATATCATGTTTATGTGGCAGTAGTTGTAATTTTACAGCTGGTTCATCATTTTTACTATACAATCTCACTTGTAAGGGAATAGTTAAAAAAGAAAGAGAGAAATATTTAATAATCTGACAGAAATTCATTCTTGAAATAATTTCTTTTTACTTTCTAAAATTTTTATTTACAAATTATTTAGAAACAAGGTCTTGCTATGTTACCCAGGCTAGCCTCCACTCAAGTGATTCTCCTACATCAGCTTCCCACCATGCCCGGTTCTTTCTTTCTTTGTTTTTGCTTTTTGGAGACAGAGTTTTGCTCTGTTGTCAGAGTTAGAGTGCAGTGGTGTCGTTGTAGCTCACTACAACCGTAAACTCCTGGGCTCAAGATCCTCCTGTCTCAGCCTTCCTAGTAGCTGGGACTACAGGTATGTGCCACCATGCCCAGCTAATTCTTCTATTTTTTGTAGAGAGGGGGTCTTGTTCTTGCTCAGGGTAGTCTCAAACTCCTGAGCTTAAGCAGTCCTCCAGGTTTGGCCCAGGCATGAGCCACTGTGCCCTGCCCTTCTTTTTTATTTAATTAATTAATTAATTAATTTTCAGAATATTACAGGGGTACACACATTTAGGTTATAAATATTGCCATATTTACTTTTTAAATGTAGGGATGAAGAAATATTTTTCTTAGAAAAAGGCAACATACAGTATATTAAGATACCTTAAAATATACTGTTTTCATTAAAACTGGTCATAAAATTTTCTCTAGATTTAATTATAAGTGAAATATATAAAGATAAATCTATCTTTATTTGAAAACCAGGCAAGGTAATATAACACTTAAGTCTGATATTTTAAATCATAGCATTGGTGGCTTAATATATTAGGATAAGTTGATTTCTGATTAAAGAACTCATAGGCTCAGATAGTCAATATTAGTCAGGCTCAGTGGCCTGTGCCTATAGTCCCACCCAATTGGGAGGCTGAGGCAGGAGGGTTGTTTGAGCCCAGAAGTTTGAGACCAAAGACAATCAAGATACTTTAACATAATTATTGAAATGTTCATTTGAAAAAAACTATGTCACTGAAGTGTATGTTTATTTTTACTGAAAGATTTTTCTCTGGTTTGATCTCAAATGTTGGAAATACTGGTTTTAAAAAGAAATCACACATGACAGTCATAGCCATATTTATGTATTCTTCTCATGTTAGAAGATAAAACCCAACAGTATAAATACAAGTACTTTGCAGCCTTATAAAACCATCCTTTAGGAGGGATGGTATTACCTAAGTATTTCAAAGTAGGTATTAAATAGATATTGGTTAAACTAAAAAAGTTCAAGAAAAGTGAAACTGGAACAAACATTGTACATTTTCAAGATAGAGGCTGTAGAAGTCAATCATCCAGTAGAAGGCAGCCATACAAAGCGTTTCTGCTGACTGAATAAGCATCTGGATGATAATGTATATTATCTGGGAATCACTAAAGATCATGTTCATAGGTTTCTTTGTAGAGATATGTCATCTGTTACTTGAACTGTAATGCCTATGCTTTAAAAGGCAAGAATGTTCTCTCTTCCAGAGAGACAGTGCTTACAATGGGAGTAAAGTGAAGAAGCTCCACTTTAAGTAAGCCTTTAGTTAAAAACAAAACCCAAAACTAAACATCCAAATTAATAAATGCATTAATAATTATTCCCTGGTTATCTTTGTTCTGAAATTCATTCAAACTAAAAAAAATTACACAATCTACTGATTTCATAAGGTACCAACCTCCAGCATCTAGGACAATATCTACTCCCAGGCCACCTGTTTCTTCCAAACAGCTTTCAGCAACGTGGACTTTCCCATTAGATACATCAATCACTCTGGCTGTAAAGGACAAGAAATAAGGCAGCTGTGTTGTTCTCTATGTGATTGATATAAAAAAAATCAAGAAAAAAGAAAAAGAAAACCAAATAAATATTCTCTGAAATATTTATTAAGCAAAATATTTATTAATAAATATTTATTAAGCAAGTTAAGCAATTCAAAGAAGTACTGATTTTAAAGAGGAAAAAGTCAATTCAAATGATACTTTTTCTCATCTAACCCGGTATTGGTAAGCATCAATCTAAACAAAGGGACTAGTAAATTCAATAAAATAAAAATATGAACATTTTGTGGATAAAGTGATCCAAGGCTGATCTTTTGACACAGGGGAGTATTCTCTGTACCTACAGGATATGTAGTGAGAACTGAGAACCTGAAAACACGGGTACATATATATTAAGACATGAATTGGAAGATTAAGCAGTTTCTTTCATTCTTTTTTTTCTGGTGCACCATTCCTGGAGGTACTGCAATACCAGGTTGATGTAGAGTGGACAGAGCAAGCTCCTATTGCAGCTCCCCGCTCCAAAAATCCATTTAATAAATTGTCCTCAGATAGAGGATGTATAGATATTAAACTGATAAGAACAGATAATACACTTGATCTTAGCCAAAAGGCCGAGAAGCAATAAGCAGTTTCTTGAGTATGTTCATATTTCATAGCATTTAGAGCTAAAAAGTACAAAAATATACAGATGTTTCATAATTTACGGTGGGCCTATATCCCATAGTTAATGCATTCCTGAGCTGAAAACGCATTTAATACTCCAAGAAACCCATTGTAAAGTCAAAAAATCTAAGTAGAAATATTTGTAAGTCAGGAATCTTCTGTATTGATGCAATATGGTAATTATCTACCAGAGGCTGTTTAATCCATTCTCAGTCCTAGAATTGCCTCCTACTTCCCCCCTTGTTTCCTCAAATGAAGAAAAATCCTGAAAGTAAGGAAAAGAAACATTATGATTTTTAGCAGTAAGTGAAAATTAAACTAATTTTAACTGGCTGCTTTAAATTAATAAAAGAATTATATTAATAGAATAGAAATTATTAAGAGAATTAAAAAATTCTCAGTTTTGAATTGGCAAATGAAGACATATGTTTATATTTCATTTTTGTATCTCTTAACATCTTTGCGTTGAAGAGAATTCTTCTCAGTGTTGCTCAGATTAGAAGTGCAGTCCCATAGTAATCTAGGATTTGGGGGAGGGGAGAGGAGGAAGCCACAAGGGAAAGGGGACTGAAGAAATCTAGGAGGGGCAGAATTAAGCAATAAGAAACATTTCCCTTCAACAAGACTTTTTGTGATCTTTTTCTGCATTCTATTTTCAAATCTCTTCTATTGCCCTTTTTCTCCTTTCTCCAGCCCCTGCAATATCTTCCTTCCATTTCTTGGTTATCTCTACACAGAAGCATAATGTAACAATGGAAATAACATAGGCTATGATGTTAGACAGGCCTGGGTTCAAATCTCCTTCCAGTCCTTTTCTTAGTTGTATATCCTTGGACATGCTAGTTAAATTCTCTGAGATACTGTTTCCTGGTCGGCCAATCCAGGGTTATTAAGGACTTCAGGACATTAACATCCATATTAGCACTCAATGAACATTACTTTCCTTCCTGCTTGCCCTTCACCTAATACTCTGTTCCTTCTTTTTGCTCATCAGCTGATAGTTTTTCTGTTTCTATCTTTCTCTTTTCCTTGTTCACTATTTTCAGTTTCTACTTTCTTCCTCTGCTCCATATTCACTGCTGTTTGGATAGGTTCAATCTTTTCAAGAGCTCACCAGCCTCCACCATGTCCTGATCATCATAAACTATATGCTTTTTTGTTTGTTTGTTTGTTATGTTTTTTGAGACAATCTCACTCTGTTGCCCAGGCTAGAGTGCCATGGCATCAGCCTAGCTCATAGCAACCTCAAACTCCTGGGCTTAAGCAATCCTTCTGCCTCAGCCTCCTGAGTAGCTAGGACTACAGGCATATGCCACTATGCCCAGCTAATTTTTTCTCTATATATTTTTAGTTGTCCAGATAATTTCTTTCTATTTTTAGTAGAGACGGGGTCTCGCTCTTGCGAGGCTGGTCTTGAACTCCTGACCTCGAGTGATATTCCCGCCTTGCCCTCCCAGAGTACTAGAATTATAGGCAGGAGCCACTGCGCCCAGTCATAAACTATATGTTTTGATGACTTGTGTTTCTGTGTAAGTGGATCATCTCCCTTCCTACTCTATCACAGAAAATAGACATTAGAGCCATATTACAGGGTAAAAGAGGCTGAGAAATATACAAAGTGGTACAAAATATATTGATTTATTGACTAAAACCAAAGGAGCATTAGGTATTTCTAAATTGTGTCAAAGTTTACATAATTCAAACTTGGATAAGTTGTTGATGACAACGGGAAAAAGAAAAAGAAACATTAAAACACGTAGGTTTAAAAAACTTAAATAATTAAAATGAAAATTATTGCTTAAGTAAATCTGGACTCGGCCACAGATACTAAGTGCATTTTAATATTGACTTTCATTTATGACTTTGTACTTTATTTTACAAGTGCAGTTTTTAAGGTGATTTCTCTTTATAATTATGTTTTTAAAGTCTGCTGAGTAATATTACTCACCTATAGAAGGCCTAAGTCTTTCAAGGAACTGCTTGTCTTCAAGGCTGCATGCTGTTGAAATCACTTTGGCTCCCCTATGGTGTGCTAACTGAATAGCTATTGTACCAAATGCCTGTGTGGAAAAAAATATACAATGGGTTTATAGTTATAGGGTAGATGCCATATCTAATTTATTGTATAGATTGTTTAATAAAGTGTATTCTTTATTGTTACTTTAGTATATTTTTAAATGTTATGTAATAGGAAAAGAGAAAAAATACAGATAAGTTTAGTAGGAGAAATCTTTGATTGACTTTCTTCTTCAGAAGAAATGATGGAAAAGCTGCACAAGTCACATGCTCTCACCCATAATCTGACCACAACACATGATTTCAAGGATGGAGGACCACATCCAGACATGTGGCTTGGAAAGAGAAGAATGGGCCTTAAGGGCCTTGTCAGCATGATGGTCTAAGCTAATTATATAGTTCATATGGGAGTCTAGCTACCTTTCTTTGAAGATCAAAGCACTTCAAAAGCTTCATCCTATTTCGGACCCGTGGGGTAAGTTCGGGGAAACATTACTATCCTGATGTTGGACATTAGGCTGAAGCCAATGCCGAAGACAGCTCTGCCTTTTCTTCAAAGAAAAGCAGGGAAGAAAGCACTTTCATCAAAAGCCAGATAAAAAATAAAACTATAAATTCATCTCAACATTTTTAGAATATAATACTTCTACGTATTTTAGTGTTGCCTTGAACTATTTTTTGGATGATACATGTGATACGTTTAAATGAGCACATTTTGATCTTGTATGTGATCCATCTATAAAATGCCAACACTTTATTAACAAAACTGTAAGCGTAGGAAATATGACTCAAAACTGGTAGAAAGTTCTGGACTATGGACTTCAAAGACTCATGAGCTATTTCAGGCTTTGTATAATAGGAATGAATAAAAATGGTTTATCTGCTTTAATATACTAGCAGATTGAAAGTAATAAGAAACTAATTGCAGTAAATCTAACGTTTATCTCCTATTGCTACAAGCTGTTTACTATAACAAAATGGGAAGTTGATAAAGAAATCAGTGAGTAAGCTATCAGCAAGGAATTATACTAGCTAATTTCTAAATTCCCTAAGCTTACTGTATGTTGGTCTATTTCTGAATAGCATTAGCACCTACACTTGCTCCATCCATGATCAGCACTGATTTTCCAGGAGAGAGATGAGAAAGATAATGCAGAGCTGTATAGGCTCGTACTCCATCCCGAATAGTTCCAGCTGCTTCTGTCCAGGTAACCTTTTCTGGTTTATGAACTACCACAAAGAACGAGAGGAAACAATCTGTTAGCAAATCCCATTAGTCCTGACTCCTGGATCTATTTCTCTCCATCTCTATTACCACCAACGCCCTGATCTAAGCCCTACTATTCTCTCTCACCCACATTACGGTTTCCCTATTTCCATTATGGTCCATACATAATCCATTCTCTACACAGAACCAGTGTGTGTCTATTTTTTAAAACTTTTTAACTGTGAAACAAAACACATGCAGAAAAGTACACAAAACATAATGTACAGCTGGATACATAAATAAAAAGTGAATGTGCAAGTCACCACTATCCTGGTAGAAAAGAACACAGCCATCACCCCAGCATCCTTTTCTCTCCCCACCAGAGGTCGCTACCATTCTAACTCAATGTTTAGAGTTTATCACTAAAGTTTGCATTCCTAAATAATACAATTCAGTTTTGCTTAAGTTTTGAACTTTATCTACATAGAATCGTACATACCATATGCTTTCTTTAATGTTTTTAAGACATCTTTTTTGTGTGTGAGGCTGCTGCAGTGCTTTCATTTTTGTTGTTCTACAGTATTTTACTATATGGAAAACACCTTCATTTGCTTGTCCATTGTTCAACCAATGAACACTTTTGTTGTCTCTAGTTTCTGGCAGTTACAAGCCATGCTACTAAGAACAATCTTGTATAAAAGATATTGTTACACTATGCATGTTCTTCCCTAGGATATTTAATTTGGAGTGAAAATCCCAGGGTATATGACCTTTGATTTAACTACACACTTCCAAAGTAACTGTACCAACTTACTCTCCCACAGCAGTGTCCTATTGCTGTAAACCCTTGATATCATCAGATTTATAAATTTTTACCTATCATGTAGGTATGTAATGGTTTCTCACTGTGGTTTTAATTTACTTTTCCCTGTCTACTAATGAGGTTGAGCACCTTTCTGAGTTTACTGGCCATCTGAAATTCCTTTTGTGAAGTGACTATTCAAGTCTATCAATTTTTCTATTATTTTGTCTTTTACTTATTGATTTATAGGAATTCTTTATATATTCTAGATGAGTCATTTGTTTATATACTGTAAATATTATTTTCAACTTTATACCTTCTCTTTTTAATCACTTTAACAGTGTCTTTATTTTTTTAGAGACAGAGACTTGCTCTGTTGTACAGACTGGAGTGCAGTGGCATGCACGATCATAGCTCACTGTAATCTCCAATTCCTGGGCTCACGTGATCCCCCTGCTGCAGTCTCTGGGGTAGCTGGGACTACAGGAACACACCACCATGCCCGGTTAAATTTTTTTTTTCGAATTTTTTGTAGAGATGAGGTCTCACTATGTTGCCTAGGTTTGTCTCAAACTCCTGGGCTCAAGGGACCCTCCTGCCTAGGCTTCCCAAAGTGCTGGGACTACAGGTGTCAGCTGCTGCATGTAGCCTACCAGCATCTTTGAGAGCAAATCCTAACCACTAGACCACCAGGGAGCGACCTAAGAGTGTCTTTGAAAAACAGAAGTGGTGGCCAGGCACAGTGGCTCACGGCTGCAATCCTAGCACTTTGGGAGGCTCAGGCGAGAGGACCACTTCAGACCAGGAGTTGGAGGTTATAGTGATCTATGATTGCACTACTGCACTCCAACCTCGATGACAGAGCAAGACTCTGTCTCTTAAAAACAAAAAAAGTGTCAGAATATTTAAAAACCATAAATATATAAATAATATACTAATACTTCTCTACTTAAAATTCCTCAATAGTAGCTTTCCATTGCACCTGAATCAAAATACAAAGTCCTAATATAGTTTACAAAGCTCTACATGATCTGACCATTAAACTATTATTCCATAATAGGCTTCACTATTTAATTTTGATTTTGTGTTTATGTTGTACACTGATGTGATTCTTTTTCACAGTACAAGAAATTCTTTCTCATTTTCAACTTTACAATCAACTTTATAAAACTTTTTTTTTTTTTTTAATTTCAGAGTTTTATTGTATTGCACTAAAGGAACAGCAGGATGGTTATACAATTTTCTCTCTTATTCAGTTTTGAAAATCTAAAGTACTTGCAAATTCTTAAGAATACCTTTACCACCAGATTAGAACAGTAAGCATAATAACAAATTTCTTGATAAGTAACGTCTTACAAATAAAAACACATTTAAAATAGCTTTAAATGCATTCTTCACAAGTAATTCAGCACATTTTTTAGATCATGTTCACTTATGCTTAAGAATTAAAGCAAGTATATTTGTTACTCTGGTGGAAATATGGGAAATCTCTCATTCATGCAATATATAGGGATAATATTCAAGTTGAAGGGAAAAAACCCCACTCTTATTTTTGTAAATGTACCCATATATAATCATCTACATGATAGATGAGGAAACCCATGAAGTTTCCCACGAGTCAGATATACATTTCCAGCTCATCAGAAGCACCTGATATCTATAGCTCATTTATAATTAGATGTCCTTTCAATAAAACCAAAATGAGCCCTACCAATTCCTATAAACAAAAGCTTCCAATGGACTAAGTAATTAATGCAATCATTCAGAGGATTATGGCTGTTCCTTAAGGAGTGCAAGTTCAAACCTGTCAATACCAGAGGTAATCATTTTATATTAATTTATACGTAATTCCATTTAAATTCTTTATCTGAGTATAACATATGAAAACAGTCTTTCCACAAGCAAAAATGTGGAAACATTTAAAAAATAAGGAGTCATTTTTTTTTTTTTTGAGACAGAGTCTCGCTTTGTTGCCCAGGCTAGAGTGAGTGCCGTGGCGTCAGCCTAGCTCACAGCAACCTCAAACTCCTAGGCTCGAGTGATCCTTCTGCCTCAGCCTCCCGGGTAGCTGGGACTACAGGCATGCGCCACCATGCCCGGCTAATTTTTTATATATATATCAGTTGGCCAATTAATTTCTTTCTATTTATAGTAGAGACGGGGTCTCGCTCTTGCTCAGGCTGGTTTTGAACTCCTGACCTTGAGCAATCCGCCCGCCTCGGCCTCCCAAGAGCTAGGATTACAGGCGTGAGCCACAGCGCCCGGCCAGGAGTCATTTTTTTAAAGTAACTGATCAGATTCCATAGGCTACTCTTGGAAACAGGATCTTGCTGGATAGAATCCCTTCATCTGGTGGCTTTTTGCATGCACTTAACTGGACCAAATCTTCTGTGTGTTGTTCTAAGAGCTCACCAAAACATAGATCATGCCGTATAAGTAGTAAAAAAATGCTAGAAGATAAAAAGCTAATTTGCACCATCCTTCTTTCTGACAATATGCTAGAATATCTGCATTCATGATGGTTGTAGGGTCATAGAGTCCTGGTCCACTCATCACTGGTCTACTCATATACCTCCAAATATGATATGCCAAGAGGGGCATATTGAGACCCAGTGTAAGCCACTCTGCTGCACAAAGAAACATGACACAGAAGAAAGCATGGATGAGGTACTCTGGAAGTACAAGAGGATTCAGGGTATTACACTGGTCTATGGGATTCTTGTAATCAGTCTTCAGCTCATCAAATGCTATAATGTGCCAGATGGCGAAGAAGATGAGCGCGGCGGTGAGCAGCAGCGCCAGCATGTAGCAAAAGGCCGCGAACGTGAACGCCATGGCCGGGGAGGAGCAGGCAGCAGCGCCGGTGCCAGCGGAGAAAGGCGGCGCAGGGCCCTCTGGGTAAAACCATTCACTTCCCCCGGCCACAGCCGCTACCGCCACCTCCGCCGCCGCCGCTGCCCAACTTTATAAAACTTTTATAGTCTTTACTAGCTCTTTCAAATATATTTCCTCTAATAGCAATAGATTCACAAGGACTAACCACAGGACTAAGTAGAGTGTCACCACTGTAGTTAGCAACAAACTAGTGCTATCTACTGGGGAAGCAGAGCATTCAAGGATACATGTTGAAAATATTCAGGGGGACAAGCAGGGGACTAAAACAGTAAAAACACATTAAGAACCAAGTGATAGCACATACAGTACTTTATTCCTTATAAAACTCTTTACGATAGCTATTCTTCTAATTTTACTGATTATGAAATGGACTTAAGGATAATAAACCTATTTGTCTAAGGTCATATAGCTCCTAGGGTGAATGTATGTCTACTCTAATGGGGCATGTTTAATCTACATATGATTTACTTATTGGCCTCTTTGGGGGAATATTTGCCATCATAAGAATTTGAAGTGTCATATTTTAATAAAAAAATCAATCATGCAGTCCTTAAAAAATGCTAACTGCAATAAAACTACATTTAAGATTTCAAAGGTTCTAAAATTGAATGGTTAGATGTGGGTTAATGTTAAGATCCTTGCTTTTGTGTTTTGGTGCTCAACAGGTATTTAATATGTTATAAAAACTAAACAAATAGAGCGAGCCACATGAAGATCAATAATAACAGTTTACTGGAAACCAAGAATTTTCATTTCTTTCTAGCTTAGGTCAAAAGGAATAAAAGAACACTAAAAATGTGTGCCAAATTTTGAATGAAAAATAAAATTATTTTTATATTTGACAGAATGGCTTAAGAATTGAAAGCACAGGCCAGGCATGGTGGTTCACACCTGTAATCCTAGCACTCTGGGAGGCTGAGGCAGGAGGATTGCTTGAGCTCAGGAGTTCTTTGAGTCCAGCTTGAGCAAGAGTGAGACCCTATCTCTATTAAAAATAGAAAAAATTAGCTGGGTATGGTGGCACATGCCTGTAGTCCCAGCTACTCAGGAGGCTGAGGCAAAAGGATCGTATGAGCCGAGGAGTTTGAGGTTGCTGTGAGCTAGGCTAATGCTATGGCACTCTAGCCAGGGCAACCGAGTGAAACTCTGTCTCCAAAAAAAGAAAAAGAAAAAAAAAGAATTGAAAATACAAAAGAAAGACTTTCTCTATTTTTTAACTCTATTGTCAATGTTGTACAATACGATTAACTACACATTTGGGGGGCTGTTCCTAGATCTTTGGTTTGGCGAAAAAAAACACTTATTTGAGTTGAAGGTGACTGAGTGCTAAGCTCTCATTAAACAATCACCAGACAAAGAATTAACAGGAAGTAAAACAGAGTTGTAGTAAACTGAAAAATCTCCGCTGCAGTTTCAGGGAACATACTGATATGATTACCTAATTCAGGGTTCTTATTTATAGATGTAGTTCGTGTGCCTAGGATCTTGCCTAAAGATGCCACTGTTAACGGTCATTGTTTTTTTTAATTGTAAATTGACAATTTATAATTGTATAAATTTATAGGGTACAAAGTGATGCTATGATTCATGAATACAAGGTGGAATAATTAAATCAAACTAGTTAACATATCTATCACCTCAAATAATTAACTTTTTTTGTGGTGAGAATGTTTGGAATTTATGCTCTTAGCAACTTTGAAATGTACAATACTCTAATATTAACTATATTCACCACACTGTACAATAGAACTAAAACATTCCTCCTGCCTGAGATTTTGTGGTCTTTGACCACCATCGCTTCATTCTTCCTATCCCCCAGCCTCTGTAACCACCATTCTACTCTCTGCTTCTATTAGTTTGCTTTTTTTTTTGCTTTTTTTTTTGAGACAGAGTCTCGCTTTGTTGCCTAGGCTAGAATGAGTGCCATGGCGTCAACCTAGCTCACAGCAACCTCAATCTCCTGGCTCAAGCAATCCTTCTGCCTCAGCCTCCCAAGTAGCTGGGACTACAGGCATGCGCCACCATGCCCGGCTAATTTATAATATAATATATATATATATATATAGTTGAGTGGCAATTAATTTCTTTCTATTTATAGTAGAGACGGGGGTCTCGCTCTTGCTCAGGCTGGTTTCGAACTCCTGACCTCGAGCAATCCGCCCGCCTCGGCCTCCCAGAGAGCTAGGATTACAGGTGTGAGCCACCACGCCTGGCCTGTTTGATTGTTTTAGATTCCACATATAAGTGAGAAATGTGGTATTTGTTTTTCTGTGCCTGGCTTATTTCACTTAGCATAATGTAGCCCTATTCCATCCATGTCATCACAAATGACAAAATTTCCTGCTTTTTAAAGGTTGAATAGTATTCCACTATGTATATATGCCATATTTTCTTTGTCCATTCATCTGTTGATAGACACTTAGGTTGCTCCCATAACTTCTCTATGGTGAATAGTGTTACCATGAATATGGGAGTGCAGACATCTCTTTGACAAACTGATTTCAAATCTTCTGGGTAAATACACAGAAGTGGGATGGCTGGGTCATATGGTAATTCTATCTTTAGTTTTTTGAAAAACCTCCATATAGTTTTTCCATAATAGCTGCACTAATTTACATTCCCACCAGCAGTGTACAAGAGTTCCCTTTTCTTCATATCCTTGCCAATGCTCATCTTTCATCTTTTTGATAATAGCCATTCTGATGGGTGTCAGATGATATCTCATTGTGGATTTTTTTATTTTTTTGAGACAAGGTCTCACTCTGTTACCCAGGCTGGAGTGCAGTGACTGGCTCATAGCACACTGCAACCTTAACTCCTCCCACCTCAGCTTCCTGAGTAGCTAGGACTACAGGTGTAAGCCACTATGCTCAGCTAATAATTTTAAATATTTTGTAGAGATGATGTCTTGCTATGTTGTTCAGGCTGGTCATTGTGGTTTTAATTTGCATTTCCCTAATTATTAGTGATACTAAGAATTTTTTCATGTATCTGTTGGCCATTTGTATCTCTTCTTTTTAAAACTGTCTATTCAGGTCTCTTGTCCATTTTTTAATTGGGCTTTCTGTTTTCTTGCTATTGAGTCATTTGAGATCTTTTTTTTTTTTTTTTTTTTTTTTTCTTTGTTGCCCAGGCTAGAGTGAGTGCCGTGGCGTCAGCCTAGCTCACAGCAACCTCAAACTCCTGGGCTCAAGCAATCCTCCTGTCTCAGCCTCCCGAGTAGCTGGGACTACAGGCATGCGCCACCATGCCCAGCTAATTTTTTTTTTTTGTATATATTTTTAGTTGGCCAATTAATTTCTTTCCCTTTATAGTAGAGACGGGGTCTCGCTCTTGCTCAGGCTGGTTTCGAACTCCTGACCTCGAGCAATCCGCCCGCCTCAGCCTCCCAGAGAGCTAGGATTACAGGCGTGAGCCACCACGCCCGGCCTGAGATCTTTATATATTGTTAATATTAACCTCTTATTGGATATATAGCTTGCAAATATTTTCTCTTAATCTGTAGGCTGTCTCTGCACAATGTTGTTTTCTTCATTGTGCTAGGGGTCATTCTTAAAGTACTTCTTTTAAAGAAACATTTTATTGTGTTTTCTTTTTCAAGGAATATTTTCAATTATTTACTCTATATACTTTGTTGGATTTTTGGACTGTCAACCATCCACCTGATTTACAAATAAATTAGAAAAATAAAAAGTCATTTGTGTGGTTTGTCTTCCTTAGCTTAAACTTTATAGCTAGGAAACTGATGCTCCGATTTGCTCTTCTCCTTCTGGTTCACGTTATAATTCTCCAGTGTTCAGCAATGCCTAAATAAATGGACCTTGTTTTATTGTTTTAAATAGTTCATCTTCTATAGCAGTTTAGTTTAGGTTACTTCATCAAAACTCAAGCCTGGGAAACCAAACTAAAGGTTTTAGTTGACTCCAAATTCACAAAGTTATCAAAAGAACAGAGCAATTAGAGCCATCATCCAACGAAACTCTAGGGCCAAAAATAGGACCGTTTCCTGTAAAAGAGCCAGTGGTAGTACTCAATTTTCATACTGTACAATACCAAAATAGCTATGGGCCAGGCATGGCAGCTCACGCCTGTAATCCTAGCACTTTGGGAGGCCGAGGCAAGAGGATCACTTGAGGTCAGGAGTTGAAGACCAGCCTGAGCAAGAGCAAGACCCTGTCTCTACTAAAAACAGAAAAATTAGCTGGGCATGGTGATATACACCTGTAGATCCAGCTACTTGGGAGGCTGAGGCAGGAGGATCATTTGACCCCAGGAGTTTGAGGTTGCTGTGAGCTAGGCTGACACCACGGCACTCTCCTCTGGGCAACAAAGTGAGACTCTGTTTCCAAAAAAAAAAAAATTAGCTATGGATTAGAGATTTTCACTGCATGGTATTTGAAAGAAATCTTTATCTTTCAAAACAAGACACATACTTGGCTTCATTTCTAGCCTTATTATACATATAAATAGGCATAGGCCTCAGATTTCTAGAAAAGTATCTTGAAAATTAATTTTTAATCAAATAATATAGTATTACTTGTAAATTTTAGACACAGCAAATGTCATTAATTTAAATAAGAATTACTTAAAATTTATAATTTCATAAATAAAATACCAAAGATTTGCTAGCCTAACTCAAGTTGCCATATAGATTTAATTGAATAAGTTTAGTATTTTTGGTAGAACAAAATCCAAATTGGCCTGTCCCCAAAAGGTCTGATTAGAGATTGTATTACTGAAGAAAAAAGCTCAAAAAAATTTAATTAAATAGCTCAAGAACACAAAAGAAAATATTTTGACCTTATAGATATGGTATGAAGAACAACATAATGAATTCAGCATAAGAAATATACACTGGCAGTACTAGTGCATCTGCTCTGATCAGAACCCCCTTCCTTGCTCACAAAGGTAGCCTCCATCTAACTTTGCATTCTCTGCCTTTTCTTTATATCTTTAAGTAATATATGCTTAATTTTGTATGCTTTTGAACTTTATATAAATAAATGTTATCAGACTATATTCTTCTGCAACTTCCTTTTTTCACTCAATCCTGTTTGTGAGATTCATTGATGTTGATATGCTTAGCTCTTATTTATTCACTTTCACTGCTGAGTAGAAATTCATTCTATAAATATCTTTAGTTATTTATTCTCCTGGTGATGGACATTTGGGCTGTTTCCAATTTTTTTCACTTTACAAATCATGCTGCTATGAACTCTTTCTTTTTTTTTTTTTTTTTTTGAGACAGAGTCTTGCTTTGTTGTCCAGGCTAGAGTGAGTGCCATGGCGTCAGCCTAGCTCACAGCAACCTCAAACTCCTGGGCTCGAGTGATCCTTCTGCCTCAGCCTCCCGAGTAGCTGGGACTACAGGCATGCACCACCATGCCCGGCTAATTTTTTATATATATATATATCAGTTGGCCAATTAATTTCTTTCTATTTATAGTAGAGACGGGGTCTCGCTCTTGCTCAGGCTGGTTTTGAACTCCTGACCTTGAGCAATCCGCCCGCCTCGGCCTCCCAAGAGCTAGGATTACAGGCGTGAGCCACAGCGCCCGGCCTGCTATGAACTCTTGTGCAGTATATCTCCTGGTGCACATCAAGTTTCTGTAGGGTACATAACTATGAGTAGAATTATTGGTCTGGGATATATACACCATTACCTTTATTAGATAATGCTAGTGTTTTGATCATATTTGTACCAACTTATACTCCAATGCACCAAAGGTTCCATTGCTCCATATCCTTGCCAACATTTGGGGTAGTAAGACTTTTTAACTTTTGTCATCTAGAAGGTATATAATGGTATCTCTAATGGTTTTAAGTTGCTTTTCCCTGATTACTTAGGAGATGTAGCATCTTTTTACTGTGGTTTCATGAAGTACATGTGTGTATATATATTTTTTAATTTAAATATTAAAAAAGTAAATTACTGTAAGAAAAATTAGAAATAAACATTTCAGTTAAACTGAATAGTTGTCAAAAGATAATTAGTATTAGAAACCAAAGATGAATGTTCTTGATCTTTTCCTTTCTCAGACTCTACATGTATTACCTAGATTTTGTATATATTTTGTTTCAACCAAGAGTAAGAAATTTAAAATTTCTGATTAGAGATAATTTCAGAGCCAAGAGAGAAACCACTTTTCAAAGATCCTGCCATAAGCAGTGTCAGTAAAGCTTAAAGGTCTATATATTACTTAATCTGAATATGAATTTTATGAATACTAATTATAAGCTAGAAGTATTCACATGAACAGCCAACAGTTATTTATTATGTATATTACCAGTTAATGGTTATTTATTAAGTATACCACTCAGGGTAGAGTCAAAGAAATTAAAATGTTATTAAATACCATATATCAGTGAAGTAAGACTTATATGAGTTCCGAAAGACTGAATTGTCACCTACCCAAGTAGTGCTCATGTACTCTAACAACTTCACAAAGTCCAGGGTCTTCAGAATCCAGGGGCAAAATTCCTAAAAATTAAAACAAGAAATTTAAGGGAAATGGGGCCAAAATAAATTCATTCCTAATGAGAGGCTAGTAAGGAAGGATTAGTACAAATTTTGTTCAGTGGAATTGTGAGGAAGGTTCTAGTAATTACTAGCATAGAGAAGGGAGAGACTTCAGAAATAGGGAAGGAAAGGGACCACTCATTTTCTGTTATGAACACTTGTGATCTCTCTTTCTTTTTCTCTCTTCTTTCACCTCTGAGTGACAGTAAAGATGATGGCCAATGTTATATAACCAAGTCAAAGTCTTGGGAGTACCTGGACTCCTTGTTAAAATTATCCCTGATTCCCTGCTGCATGACTACTTTTTCATAGTTTACTTACATAACATACATCAGTATGCTTCCAAATAAAATAAAATCCTATTTTTCCCCTAAACTAAGTCTGATTTTATTTTTGTTCTCTTACAAAAAGTATCTTAAGTAATACAGTGTCACTGACTTCTTAGGCATAAAAAAAGATAAGAATCATCAACTTTCCAGGAATACCTGAGTCTAAGGCAATACTATAAAAAGCTGATGAAAACTCTCTTACAAATCTATTCTTCAACAGCTTGAGGCATGCTGTAAGGCTAAACATATTCTAAATTTATATACATATTTTCTAAACTTATATCTTCCACAGGAGAATGAAAATTTCAAAGACTTATACAAAAGCCATATGCTATTCATTTTTGTGTGACTGTCTAGGACACATGCATAAATATATATATTTGCAAAAATACTTGTTATGGGTTTTTAAAAAAATGCAATAAACTAAATGTTTCCAGGCAATTTTTAGTTTTACAGGAATAGCAAGAAAGAAGTGCTATATGATTCAAAATGGAATGGAGAAGAGAGTTGCTATACAGCCTTGTCAGTTAGCTCTGACTTTCCTTTTCTCTAGAGATTTCAGTCTGGCCACAGATTGGGAACCTGCCAGGAAAGGGCTGAGTCAACCATAGTAACAACTATGGTTATCTTTTTATCTATAAAATTGCTCTAGCAGGGTGAGGTGGCTCATGCCTGTAATCCTAGCACTCTGGGAGGCTGAGGCAGGAGGATTGCTTGAGGTCAAGAGTTTGAGATAGCCTGATCAAAAGCAACACCTTGACCCTATCTCTACTAAAATAGAAAAATTAGCCAGGCACAGTGATAGATACCTGTAATCCCAGCTACTCGGGAGGCTGAAACAGGAGGATCACTTGAGCCCAGAAGTTTGAGGTTACAGTGAGCTATGATGATGCCACTGTACTTTAGCCTGGGTGACAGAGTGAGACTCTTTATAAAAAAAAAAAAAATTGTTCCAAAGCCAAATAGTGAAAAGTTTTAAATGTTCTGCTATTGGTTGGTATCAAACTCTCAATTTTCGTCATTGATGGATATTTGTGAACAAATTCCAAAAATCAGAAAAGTATTTCTTTTCTTTTCTTTCTTTCTTTTTTTTTTTTGAGACATAGTTTTACTCTATTGCCTGGGCTAGAGTGCATTGGCATCACCATAGCTCACTGTAACTTCAAACTCCTGGGCTCAAGTCATCCTCCTTCCTCAACCTCCCGAGTAACTGGGATTACAGGTGCAGCCTCCTGGGTAGCTGGGATTATAGGCGATTGCTACCATGCCCAGCTAATTTTTCTATTTTTGGTAGAAGGAGTCTCACTCTTGCTCAAGCTGGTCTCAAACTCCTGACCTCAAGCAATCCTCCTGCCTCAGCCTCCTAACATGCTAGGATTACAGGTGTGAGCTACTGTGCCCAGCCAGGAAAATATTTCTGTATCATACAAGGTCACAATGAACATTAATAATTGTACAGGAAAAAAATGGAGATGATAATAAAATCTATGACTCAAAATGGGAATATGAACTATAACTTACCGACTACTTCATCATCTGGTTGAAAGAATGATACTTTGCTTCCAACTAAAGAAAATTAATAGTTAATATTATAAGATTATTAAATATAATCCTTAATTAACTATTAAGATAAATTTTAACAATCCTTGGGTTTATAAAATGTCACTAACTCAGAGAAAAGGCCAAGAACTTCTAGTACATTTTGATGGTTTATTAGGACTATAGGATAGAGCACTTCAAATCTGGATTCTCTAAAAAATCCAGGCCATGATTGTTGACACCATGGAGAAGTTTGTTTCTCTCTGCCTATTTAGCTAACTTTAAAGATAAAGAAGTAAAGGAAAATAATCCATTCTACAGGTTCTATGATACTATGATAATTCTGTTATTTTCCATCCCTCCTGTGGCTAGCCCAATCTTTTACAATTATTTTAGTTGCAGAATCTCACACAACAAGGATTTTTTCTTTTTAGAAACTTTGTTGCCTAGGCTGGAGTGTAGTAGTACAATCATAGCTCACCATAGCCTCAAACTCCTGGGCTCAAGTGATCTCCTACCTGGGCCTTCCAAATAGGTAGGACCAGAGGCTCATACCACTATGCCTGACTAATATTTTTAATTTTTGTAGAGACGGGGCCTTGCTCTGTTGCCCAGGCTGATCAGAAACTACAATGGAGAATACTGATAAGAATCACATGTAAATTATTTGGATTTGGAAAAGAAATCCAGATTGGTGCCAAGAAATCTTTGAAACTTTATAGAAATGACCTTGTTACATTTTCTCTGCATAATCAGAGAAAAAACCTCTATCATGAGTCAATTCATTTGAATATATTTGTTCAAAGAGTTATAAGAGGAAAGGAGAGGTAAAAACCCAAACATTGTTGAATGCCTACTATGTCCAGCATTTTAGTTTGTTCACACATTTAATCTTTACAACATACCTATGAGGTAGGTATTATTATTCCCACTTAGCAGACAAGGAAACTGAGGTAAAGCGATGAAGTAAGGTGAAAGCCTAAAAATCTGAAGTGGCCCCTTTTGGCTGGCTCTGCCAGTGAATTGGCCCACAACACATTTGTTGGTACTCAGCAAGTAACTCTAAGTCTGGCTTTCCTCTTTTCAAGTCCTCCTTTTGCAGCTGCTTCTTCTCTGAATCCTTCCTGTGCCATCATCCCCTAATCCTTTTGGCTTCTGAGTCATTGCACTTTTCTCTCTTCCTTCTGCTGCTGATCCTTGTCCACCTGAGATCACTCTGACTCTTTACTTCACACTCCTCTTCATTATACCTTAAACAGTGGCATTCTGAAAGGTCCTATGTTTATGTCTCTCCTCCATTTCTATTCTCTTCCTAGGTAAGCTCATCATCTCTACTATTTTAAATACAACCTACATGTTGATAACTCTCAAACATATACATTTCCAGCATAGGTCTCTCTCATCCTTGAGCTTCAACTCATGTAATTGCTTACTAGATATCATCAGTGAGATGTCATGTAAGTACCTTGAAGTCAAAAGTATAAATCTGCACTCACCATCTTCCTCCAAATTGGATCCTCTTCCTTTATCAACCAAAGGTACCAATTCATGCATTAACCAGAATTCTGTAAGTCATTCTTCATTCTTATGTTATTAATTCTTCAGTTCCAATCAATTATTACATCCTGCTTCTATTTCCTCAATATTTCTTGGATCTGTCTCTGTTCTCCACCTCTGCCACCAATATCTAGGTTATGGACTTTGTCACCTCTGGCCTGTTGGCCTATATCTAATCAGTCCTCCTGCTTATAGACCTGTTTGCCTCGAATCTACCCTTCATTCATATGGCCAATCTAATAATCTCCTGAAGTATCCAATCTGATATATGAGGTTCAGCACAAGGTCTGGCCCTTGCCTATCTTCCTGCTTCATTTTTGGGAGGAAGAAATCAGTGTTCATATCATCATTAAAATAATTTGGTCAATATCTTTTATTCTGCAAAGTTTGAAGGAGAATTTTCTTGACAAAATATTTATCTCCTGCCAAGTATCTTGTCTCTGACTCCTGCACAGAAATTTATTTTGCCTCTAGCAACATCAAATTCTTTGTAATTCTTATATACATCCCATTTTTACTTGGTTCTTTGTCTTTTCTCATGATATCCTCTTTGCAGAATGTGATTCTCCACCTACCCACTCCTTACTATCTGGACTACTTACTCCAAGAAGTCCTTGTTTCTTCTGGCTGGGTTGGGCAGCTTTCCTTGGAGCTTTTATAATAATCTGCTCATATGTACTTATCTGCCTCTCCTCTAGCTAGTGGGCAGAGACTGTTATATTCATATACTAATCACTTAGCAAGTGCTCATTAAATGTGGAATAAATGATTATCTGGTTACTATTTTCACTTTTTTGCAGTCCGAGCAGAAAAAGGGAAAGGAAACAAAATTATCATTTAGCTATGTCAGAAGATTACATTGAGAAAGACTATCAAGTACTACAGATTAAAATCACAGGTATAACTCAAATATAGTCTAATCACATTAATATATTCACATATGCAGTAAGAGCAAACATACACTGGTTAATCATGCACTACCTAACCTATTAGCAGTGAATATTAAGTGTAGGTCTATTTAGAAACAAATTTTATCAAACACTTAGACGTACTGTTCTATGTGTTAAGATCATTATTTATCAAATAAAACTTAAAAAATATATTTTAAGGCAATGATAAAATCTCACTGGTTATTTCTCCTCAAAAACCATAATTCCCATTTTTTTACAATGAACTGCTTAACTTTTAAATACTCAATTTTAGGCAGTTTTAAAAATTTAATGTGACATAGTTACTGACTGTTACATAAGTTTTGGTCCAAAGCTAACTTACACAAGTAATTTATGCTGGTTTGTAAACATCATAAAAAGGATGATATTTGTCATTCTATTCAATATATAATTATTTATGTATTTAAATACATAATCCCTAAATATTTACTAAGCTATAATAAGCTCTTCAATTATAAAATACTAATTAGGTCCTATTTTTCTTTGTAATTAAGGAAACAAGAAAAGAGGCCAGTCATGGTAGTGTGTACCTGTAGTTCCAGGTACTTGGTAAAACTGAGGCAGGAGGCTCGTCTGAGCCCAGGAGTTTGAGGCTGCAGTGAGCTATGACCACACCTGTGAATAGCCACTACACTCCAGCCTGGGCAACATAGTAAGACCTTGTCTCTTAAAAAAAAAAAAAGAATATTTTTGCATAATTAAATTTTATGTTTGAAGGGGCAAGTATAATTTTTTGTACTGGTAAATCAATTAGCTACCATTAAATTTCTTTCACCTTAGAAAATAAATATAGGGAAAAAAAGAAAATAAAGATAGATATTTACATCCATCAACTTACCCTCTAACACAATTCCAGCAATTTCTCTCCCAACAGGAAAGAACTCCTTCTTCATCTTCATTTCTGCCAGAAGCTAAATCATGACAACGGCTGTTAACACATTATTGTCAAGAATAAATCCTAGGCTTTCTCATACATGAGGAAATCAAGAGCAAAAATCAAACCACAGAAAGAGCAAATATGACTCAATTTTTGGAATTAAGACCAAGCAAATAACTTTACCAAACAGAGTAGGAAACCAAGAGTTTGCTGAGGAATTAGTTGATATATAGGACTTAGAAATGAGTGTTATTATTCAAATTACCATTAATGTTCTTTAACTTCTTTACTCTGCCAGGTATGAAGGGAAATTATGGCACAAACATTTCTTGGTTGGCTAAACACTATTTATCAGTCACCTTATTCAAGTGTGGAGAGGGAAAGGGAGAGGACATTGTTAGATAAGGAGGTGTGGCCAATGAGAACAGAAGGTTTTCTATTCACACACCCTTTAAAATCACCTAAGTTTTTCTCACAAGTCTTGGAATAGGGAGCAGGTGGGAAGAAGTGATGGATATTCATAGGGAAATTACTGTATTTCAGATTCATGATGATTAGAGTTTCTTTTTTTAGGCCAAATTTTTATTTTGAAGAGATTAGTATTTTTTTAGGTTCTGACCAAATTAATTATAAGTACTTGTCTTTTGAAGTAACAGAGTATACTAAGATAAGCCTATTTAAGTTCCTGCCATCTATAAAAATACTAGAGATGTTGAAAACATTTGTAGATGTCACAGATTTAAGGAACAGTAAACAAAAAGAAATTGAAATAATTATCTTCTCTATTTCCTTTATTTTTCACTTTTTTGATCTCAAGTGTGTACACTTGATTGTCAGAAGTCTTTTTTTCAACACTGAACTTAAAATACTAGGTGTTTTACAGTGTTTCTTTTATGAACATTTCCAGAGTTATAATCATGGTTTTAGCAACTGCATCCTACCTCCTTCACTTATCATAAGCATTTTCTTACATTACTACACAGCTTCATACCATTATGTTTAACAGATGTGCAATATTTCATTCAATTGATTTTACCATAATTTATCATTACTTTCAGTTAGACAGGGAGATAGATTATTTTCTACACTAAAATTTCATTGGATTTTTCATAGTTTTAATAAGAACATTTTCTGAATACAGAAGTCTGCAGATAATGTCTAGTACTAGTATTCGTGGTGAAAAGACTTTCAAAGATCTCACTAATTCATTGCTCAAATCATGCTAATGTTACACAGTGTTCAATGGAAGCCTATACCATGTTCTGCAATTTCCCTAAGTGTGACTTCATCATAGAAAACTTTTAGGTTCCTTAAAATTATGGTGACATTATAATCCAATAAGTTAAGGGTCCAATAAACTATGGTATTAATCTTTAAAAAACTGAGTAAACGGACTTGCTTTATTTATCATGTCACATTTAACTGGAGTTTATTTACCATTTGAAAACCTTCCTTGTATTTCATAGTCAATAATAAAAGATTACTAAAGGGTGGTATGAGGTAGAGATGTATGTTTATGAGAGAAAGGGAGACAAAGAGAAATGATAAGAATAATATGAACCATATCTAAAGACATTAACTAGAAATATCTACAAATTGGTGGTTAATAAATTAACTGATTAGGTTTCTAGTTTCTATCTTTATTGTATTTATAAAGGTAACATCTTCCTTATTAATAGGCTTTACTAATTATAAACTCTCAGGCCAGGTGTGGTGGCTCAAGCCTATAATTCCAGGCTTGGGAGGCCAAGGTAGGAGGATCACTTCAGGCCAGGAGTTCGAGACTAGCCTGGGTAACATGGCAACACTCATCTGTACAACAAATAAAAAACAAAATTAGCCTGGCATGGTGGTGTACACCAACAGTCCTAGATATTTGGGAGGGTGAGACAGGAGGGTTGCCTGAGCCCAGTGGTTTGAGGCTGCAGTGACTATAATTATGCCACTGCACTTCAGCCTGAGCAGCAGGGTGAGATCCTGTCTCAAAAACAACAACTACAACAACAAAAACAAATTATAAACTCTCAGTGTTTTGCAAACTAAAGAAGTTTATAAAATATTTTCATATAATGATATACATGACTTCCATCAGACTAATAATTTACCTCAATGTAGAAATATATAAATGCACACTAAATATTTTTTCCCTAGCTATTCTATTCTTCTAAGGATGATAATTTCTTGGCACTCAGAAGTCAGTTATCATTGTATTTGTACTTTAAATATACTAAAAGACTTTCATTTGACTTTTGGCCATAATAAAAACACCAATACCTTTGTATTTATCTGGCTCAGAGCACAAGCTTTAACTTGAAGTTTCACAAAGTAATCTTCAGTAACAGGAAAATTTTCCTAGAATCAAATGATAAAAATATGTTACACATTTCCATGAGAACATGCCTTTATGCTTTCAAAATTTTCATATATAATTGAACAAAATTAAACCATCCCCAAATCTCATGGCTAACAATTTAAAAAGCTACAAGTAATTATCCAACAGTATATACTAAAAAAGAATAAATGAATTTGGGGTACAATTTTTAAAAAGCTTTAGGGTAAATATGTTGAAAAACACTTAAATACCAACATGGATACATAAGTAGACAATAAACTTAGGATAACAAAGAACAACAAATATTGTACTTTATTTTAACATAAATAATCTCAAAACATCAGATCTTCCCACTTACAGGGATGTCTTTAAATACATATATATAAAACATATAGCCTTTACTAAATTTTGGAATTTTCTTAATGCTATAAATGAAATTCTTTTCAAATTCTCTAAGAGTCATTTGTTCATCACTTCCTTAACATCTGTCTTAGACATTTCAGCATGCCCCATGGGATTCTGGGGTCAAAATACCAATTTAATGAAACATAATTACCTCTCAAATTCCACAACTAGATATAACTTCAGAGGCAAAAAATATCCCAAATTCAGACACTCTATCTCATCTATCTATATTATTAAATATAGTATCATCTCCTTTAAATAATGATACTGGCACCAATAATTAAATTACTCTCCTCAACCCCTGTAAGTCTAAAATTAGATCAAAAACTTGCCAAGAATAGCTACTTGACCCAATGGTAGAGGCCAAGTAGTCTTTGAGATTTAGACTCCTGACCTAAATGTTTTTGGAGTTAGTGAAAGACAAGAAAGAAAAATTGGATTGTGTTCATGATACAGAAATTCTTATTATTAGTACGAAATACTGATATACATACAGCACTTACTTTTCATCCCTAAAGTTACAGTGGAATGATTTTGGCTTGCCACAAATCACCAATACTGTATATGAAAATTTTACTATCTATGCTCAAGGTAATAGAAAACTACAGAACATTTAAAGCTTATTGAATGAGGTAACTTTGAAAAACTCTGAAATTTGTGCAGAAAAAGTATTTCCTAAAATATAACTACATTTTGAAAAGTTACTTTATTGTGCTGTTCAAAAATAAATTGGGTTAATTTTTCAACATATAAGATTATTAAGTTTGTTTTGTTTTCCTAATACCTTTCATACCACCATCCTGAGGAACCAAAAACTCTTGTGTTGCAACTCTTTTAAAATATATTTAAAATTAGGTAGTGTAATGGCTCCAGCTTTTCTCTTTTTGCTAAAGATTGCTTTGGCTACTTGGGGTCTTTCATGGTTCCACACAAATTTTAGGATTGTTTTTCTATTTCTGTGAAAAATGTTTTTTTTGGTTGTTTTGATATAGAACAAGGTACTGTGATAAGGATTGCACTGAATCTATAGATCGCTTTGGGTAGTACGGACATTTCAACAATATTAACTCTTCCAATTAATGAACATGGGTTATCTTTCCATTTATTAGTGTCTTCAATTTTTTTCATCAATGTTTTATAGTTTTTCATGTATGTGTAAAGATATTGTATGCCCCTGTTAAATTTATTCCTAGACATTTTATTTTATTTTTTGTAGCTATTGTAAATAGGATTGCATTCTTAATTTCTTTTTTAGATAGTTCACTGTTATAGAAACGCTACTGATTTTTATATGTTGATTTTGTATCCTGCAACTTTACTCAATTTGTTTATTAGTTCTAATAGTGGGGTCTGTAGGGTTTTCCATATATAAGATCATGTTGTCTGCAAACAATTTGACTTCCTTATTTTCAGTTCGGATGCTCTTTATTTCTTTCTTTTGCCTAACCGCTCTGAGACTTCTAGTAATGTGTTCAATAGACGTGATGAAAGTGGGCATCCTTGTCTTGTTCCTGATTTTAGAGGAAAAGCTTTCAACTTTTCCCTGTTCAGTATAATGTTAGCTGTGGGTTTGTTATGGATGGCCTTTATTATGTTGATGTATGTTCTTCTATACCTATTTAGGGTTTTTATCATGAAGAGATGTTGCATTTTATCAAATGCTTTTTCTATGTCTACTGAGATGATCATATGGTTTTTGTCCTTCATTCTGTTAATGTGATGTATCACATCTGTTGATTGGCATACGTTAAACTATCCTTGTATCCCCTTGGGATGAATCCCACTCGATCATGGCCATCAGCGAAATGCAAATCAAAGCCACAATGAGATATCACTCACTCCGTTAGAATGGCTTTATCAAAAAGACAAAAAAGTAACAAATCCTGGAGGCGATGTGGAAAGGGGACCTTTTATACACTGTTGGTGGAAATATAAATTAGTATAGCCATTATTTAACATATAAATTAGTATAGCCATAGAACCTCCACAACTCTGGAGGTTCCTCAAAAAATTAACAGAACCACCGTAAGATCCAATAATCCTACCACTGGGATATACAAAGGAAATGAAATCAATATGTCAAAGAGATAGCTGCACCTCCATATTTATTCACAATAGCCAATATATGGAATCAACCTAAGTATCCAACAATGGATAAAGAAAATGTGGTATATATAAAAAATGTAATACTCTTCAGCCATAAATAAGAATAAAATGCTGCCATTTGTGACAACATAGATGAATCTAGAGGACACTATGTTAAGTGAAATAAGCCAAGCAAAGAAGGTCAAATACCACATTATCTCACTCAAATGTGGAATCTAAAGTTGATCTCATAGAAGTAGAGAGTTGAATATCAGTTTACAGAGGCTGGAGAGAATAAGTGGGAGGAAGCACAGGGAGAGAGGTTGGTCAATGGGTACAAAGTTACAGTTTGATGGAGGAATAAATTCTGGTGTTCTATCGTACAGTAGGGTGACTACAGTTAACATTAATGTATATTTTGAAATAGCTTGAAGACAGAATTTTGAACAGTCTTACCAGAAAGAAATGACAAGTATTTGAGGTGATAGATATGCTAATTACCCTGATTTGATCATTATACAATGTATATATGTATCAAAACATTATACTGTACCGCATAAATACATTTAACTTTTATTATGTGTCAATTAAAAACAAAATAAAACTTAAAAAAAGTTATACTATAATATGAACTACTATTTTACATAAAGCTTAAAGGAAAGTAATACAATTTGAGGAGTTTCATTTAAGTAATTTTTGTTCATTTAGTTCCACTCAAAATAACAAAACAAGTCATAAGAAAGTGGACCTATGACATATGGAAAATACACTATCTTGTTTCATTTAATAATTAAATAATTTTTCTTACCCTTTCTTGAAATACAAATGTTGTTTCTTCATTTGTGGAGCTCTGTTGAAAATATAAGCCTTTCATTGTCACCTAAAAAAAAAAAAATATATATATATATACACACACACACACATGAAGTCAACAAAGTTTTCTAGACCAAATAAAAGTAAAAATTGAAAAGCAAAAGGATAAAATGAAGGATACTCAATACCCTAAGTTTTAACAGCAGAGTAGTTTTGTCTGTTTTTGAACTTTATATAAATGAAATCATAGTCCTTTATGTCTGTTTTCTTTCTTTCAATATTATTTTTGTGAGTCTCACTCATGTTGCTTGTAGTTGTAGTCTATTATTCTCATTGCTAAACAGTATTCCATTGTATTAACAAATTACTATTTATCCATTCCACTATAGACAAACATCTGAATTGTTTCCAGCTTGAGGCTCTTACAAATTGTCTGTACCTCCATAATATTCTGAAATTAAAAAAAGAATATTCTTGTATAAATTTTTTTTTTTTTTTTGAGGCAGAGTCTCACTCTGTTGCCCCAGCTAGAGTGCTGTGGCAGCAGCCTAGCTCACAGCAACTTCCAACTCCTGGGCTCAAGCAATCCTTCTGCCACAGCCTCCCAAGTAGCTGGGACTACCGGCACACACCACCATGCCGGGCTAATTTTTTCTATGCATTTTTAGTTGGCCAATTAATTTCTTTGTATTTGTATGAACTTTTTGATGAAAGTAGTGTTATTGCATTTATTTTATGAATGAAGAAACGCTGAGTCTTAGGCTAAAACACATACATGGGATCTTATAGCACCAGCTGGGCTAGAACTGGGATACAAACCAGGTGCTACCAATCCCAAAGTTATTACTCTTAATTAGCCATTACATGTAATGACTTCCTATTGAGCTGTTCACATTAGATGTATCAGTTAAAAGTAGAATACTTTATCCTTTACGATTGATGATTATTAGGTATTTGTTGATAAAAATGGCTACATTACTTGCAGGGCTCTTTGGAAAATGAAAATGTATTAAATTTCAAGACAGCAACAGCAGAGCATTAAACCAAGCACAGTACCCTTCTGAGTGTGAGGCCCAGTAAGACTGCATAGGTCACATAAAGCCAGACCTGTGTGTTGAATCTTAGTGAATCTAACTGGAGCCATATACGTAAAGGGTTTTTATCAAGTGTAGTTGTGCAATGGTTGCTGGTTTCTAGGATGTGATAATCTAATATTGGTATTAACAAATGAATAAATGTTCAAGACATACATAGAAGTTATGGATGTAGCATATATCAACAAAATATATAAAAACATAGTAAACTAGGTCAAATGATTAATTCTAACTGTTTGGTCCTTATTTGTGTCAATGTATTTGGTGTGGCGTGGGGGTGGGGGAAAGAGCTACAGAAGCTATGTATTCCCTACAACATTAAATCTAACCTCTTCTGCCTAGATTTCTAGGCTTTCTAAAACGCACATCCACTCTACCTAGACTACCTTACTCCTCCAACAATTTTCCAACACATCCCCTCTGTTCCGTCTAGTCAGTATGACTTCACACCATATGGTTATTCCCTGTCTCACAGCTTCTAGGCATGGCCTGTTCTCTGAAAGTATGCTGTACTTAACTCTACAGATTCTGTTATGTAAATAAAACTCAAATCCTACCCCCTCTCTGGAATCATCCCCAGTAACACTCAATGCACCCCCATCTGTTCCATGATTCTAGATTTTGTTATATACTAAAACAAACAAAACCTTGGTTTATGTACTAACTAGTGGGCTCTCCCAACCATTGCTAGGGCAAATCAATATCCATTATTATTAAATAAATAAATCTCTGCTCCTATTCAGTCTAGACTTACTACGGTTGCCTTTTCGAGAAGTGGAACAATTATATATCAACACCTTGATTTCAAAGCATCTCCCTTTGTGATTCCAGAAGCTACTGTTTTCTCTGCCTATTGAATCTTAAAACATATGTATGGCATGTCTCCCAGATCAGCAGTCACATGGGCCTTATATTGTGCCCCAATTTCAAAGACTCTGAAAGAAAACTGCTTGTTTGTACCCCTAGTACCCTAGAATCCCCTAAAGCAAATATTGTATACATAACAATGCCAATGTTTTCAGTCAGATCATCATAAATAGTACCTCTAAATTTGGTGAAAATTGCCCTGGCTGATGGAAAAAGTAATGTTTTAGTCCAGTTAACTATGTGGGAATACAAATATCCTTAAAATTGCAAAGTAAAGAAATGAGGTGTTTGTATAAAAGCATCCAGAAGAAAACTGAGGAAACACTTGTTTTGCAAACCCAAAAAAGAAATACTGAGTTCCTAATACTAAGAAAATGGTAGAATGGATAAATAATATTTGAGGCCCACATGGTTTCCTAGGCAGAGTAAATGAAACATTTAGTCTATGATTTACTAACTTTTTATTGACTTTAAAGGTATTTGCACAAGGAAATAAAATAAACATTTTATAAAATAAAAATAGAAATTATAATCTATAATGCCACATTTCTAAGAAAGTCATATAACTTCAAAATTGTATGTTCTACTATAAACTTTGCTATATCAAAAAGGTACTATATAAAACTTTTTAATGACAATAAACCTGTTTAAAAATGTAGGCTGCCACAGCCTGTGAAAAGCATAAAGATTTATCAGATATATCAGAATTTTAAAATAGTTGAACTAATTCACAAACTGAGGATTATGTCAGTAATACTTTAAATTTTTATAATAGCTACATATTACACCTATTAAAAAATCTGGAGAAACAAAAATTAAGAAGACAACTATTTTAAATAATTTTGGGTAAAAGGAGAAAGAGGACTTTGCATAAACACTTGACCATAAACACTTTAAGAAAGTGGTTAATAAAGGTACTGATCTGTTAAGGGATTTCTAAAAATTCAATGGGAAGTAATTTCAAATGGTTTTATCCTTCTTATACCAGCAATATGAACTCTACCTGCTCTTCTGTTACACTCAATCCCCTAAGGAGCTCATGTATTAATAATTGTAAATAAAACCTCTACAGAACATTCCTTACCTATACTTTCAGGACAAAAGTGTCCCAACTATCAGATCAATGTCAAATTCAACAGATATAAAACTAGACTCATATTTCCCCCAAACAAGATTTTGCTGTAATCTTCAGTCATCAGAGATATTTTAGATTTAATCATAACTCCTTCTGCATTATCAGCCATAAAGATTCTTTTCCTTTATGATATATATACTGTCTGGCCTGTTCATTTCAAGGGCCATCACCTTGGCACAGGTGATATGCAAACACCTGAATACCTTAGGCCTGGGTTATGGCCAGGCTGCTGAATGTCTTCATTTCTCTCCCTCATCCAATCCAACTGTTAATTTTGTGGCCAACTAAATTCCTGAAAGTCCAAACTCTTCTTACATGCTCACATTTTTATTATTCCCCGACACAAACTCTGCAATACTATGGCCACTTCAGGTTCAGAGTTCAATTATGTTTTTAACTTACTCGTTTTTATTTTAAGGAAAGCAAAGATATATTGTCAAGCAGCTAGGCTACAGAAAAACAGATGAAGTCAACTCTGAAACATGGCCCTATGGTCACCACACCAGGCTCTCTTGGGCTGTGTGGGTAAACCATGCTCTATTCCTCATCCTGTGTAAGGACCTGTGTATAGTATTATAATACTAGCTGGATTTTTGGGGGGAAATATTCAGTTTTATTTTGATCATTTGGAAAGAGGTAAATTAAGTTTTAACAATGTTCTTACTAATCTGTGAGACTTTTCATACACATCCCATGTCAGAAAAAAATGTCAAATCATGTGCCCAAATATTTAGCTAAGAAACATGGTCAGGATAATCATAAGTAACTAGTGGGAGGTTTGGTTAAAATACTGTACTATACAGGTTGTGGAGGATAGTAGTCCTAACCAGATAGGCCACTGCTTCTTAAAGTGGGTGGTGAAAGCATGGTCCTAACAGTCGCAGGACATCTCTACATGGTATCAGCAATAGTCTCCAGAAATCTGTATACTCAAAGGGCACTCTGCATAAGCAATGTGCAAACACACAGATATCTGCTGCATACAACTGCATTGCTCTTCTGTGTCTGTTATAATAAGATAGATAGGCACAAGAGATGCCATGACAGTGGCTTACACCTGGCTAAACCCTGGAAAGCAATTCTAGCTAATGACATGTGTTATAAGAACTTCAAACACATAGTTTTTTAAAACCAAATAAAAAATGCATGAAGTTACATGGTCCCTATCACTAGAAGGATTGAAACGGAGCCTGGATACACATTATGGGGGCTTCTTAAAAGAGATTCAAACATCAGTTTAGTGAGACATGGGGATCAAATGACCATTAAGGTCCCTTCTAATTATGACAATCTAGATTTCGATGAATATTATCAAGACATACTCAGTTGAATTTACATATGTGTGGCATATCTCCCATCCAAGTACTAACCAGGCTTGACCCTGCTTAGCTTCCAAGATCAGACATGATAGAGCGTGTTCAGGGTGGTATGGCCGTAGACAAATATGTGGCATATCTCTACATCTTATAAGCAAAAAAAAAAAAAAGGTGGGGGGCACATTTGCTTGGAGATGTCAAATATTTGCTTATCTATGCAACCAGTGGTTTCCAACATGTGCCCATCTAGCACAGTGTCTCTCAACAAAGACCTCTTTTGAGTCTCAAAAGAATTTTTGATTACCTACCCCATCTCCATGAAAGCTTTATTTTATTATCTGTTGATTTTCAGAATACATTTTAACTTAAGAATCTAGGATTTTGTACCTGAGCATTCCCTTCCTAGTATCTCTGGAGGTGGGGTTAGGGAGTGGGGTAAGGTGGGCGGGATGGTCATTATCCCAAAGACTGGAAATCTCTGGTCCAGTTACTATTCAATGTATGGCATGTTCTAGAACAACAGAAGCTTAACTTTCATTCATATTTTTGAATTAACATGGTATTTTCCCAAATTATACCACTGGGGAACAAGGAAGCCAATGGTGTGATGAATGAGTATTCCCTTTACCTAAGCTTGCTTAACCACGTGACACTGGAACGATGGAGGTGGAGGTCCATGGTGACAATAAATATAAACAATATAAGCAATGAATAATTCTCCTTAAACACTATTACACTATACTCTCTCCCCTCCAACTGATTTAACTGATCTTTTCGACCTACTAACATTATTGTGGTTTACAAATGCTTATTTAATTTTCCAGTTCACTACAGGATTCTGAATAAACCATTTCTTGCTTCAAATGCAAAATATGAATTGAAATTGTGATTGAATATTTACTAATAAATTCAAAATCAAGAGAAAATAATTTTATAAGATGTATTGTTTATTATGTATAAAAAGGGAAAATTATTTTGTAAAATACCATACTTTAGCATATGTGGATATGTGTATTCTTGCTTTTCTAACTTTTAAAACTTTCTTTTAAAACTCTCTTTAGCTCAATGTAGTACTGTTCACTGGGCCTATAAAAAGCATAAAGTTGTCTTTGAAATATCTTGTTTACAAGGGTAAGAAAACATTCATTTTTAACAATGAAAAAAAAAAGTTCACTACAAACAAAACCAAAAACCACTATGATTCTATAGTGAGGCACTTTAAGAATTCCCAAGCTTTCTTGCCCTCCTCCCTCAGGAGGCACACAAATGAAAAAAAGACTCACTACTGCTCAGGGTCCAGAGGCCTAAATATCTCCTTGAGGTTTTCAACTCTCTTCTTCAATCAGAACTTTGATTTTAAATGCACAGCCCGGAGAGTTGTAAAACTACCAAAATATTTCATTGCATATGACTGGCAGCTTGATCATGCATGGGGAAACCTGTCAGTTAGAAATCTGAACATTTATCCCCTGGCATAAACTAGAACAGAGGCAACAATGAAGCGAGATTAATGATAAAAGGTAATAACTTGTACACTGTAGTTATCTATGGATAGGATTTAGAAGTCATAACTAACCCAGTTTGAAACCTGACTCTCCTATTAACTAGCTGTATGACTACTTAATTTTAGCCTTTCTGGGCCTTAGATCCCATGTCTATAAAATAGGGATAATAATAGTAGTTACCTCAAAGCGTTGCTGTGAGGATTATATAATACATTCAAAGCACTCAGCACAATGCTATGCTTTCAATAAATGTTAGTTATTTTTACTATTATTTCTGTAAGTTGAGTAGAGAACCTCTAAAGTAGTTCTGAAGTCCATCTCACTGAAGTGAAACGTTGGTCACTGCAATCTTTTTAATTTCTGCAGTGGTCCTGCAGTGGATTTGTATCAGTGGATTTGCACTGTCCAGTAACAGTAGCCACTAGCCACAGGTGGCTTCTAAGCACTAGAATTGTATGTAGTCAGAATTGAGAAGTGCTGTTAAGTGTAAAATACACACCATATTTCCAAGATTTAATACGAAAAAAACAGTATAAAACACCTCAATTTTTAAATATTTGAGTAAGTGTTGAAATGATAATATTTTGGACCTACTGGGTTAAATGAAACATATAATTAAAATTAATTTCACATGTTTTTCACTTTTTAATGTGGTCACCAGAAAACTGAAAATTACATAAGAGGCTAGCATTATATTCGCACTGGACTTAAGTAGAACCTTGCTACTTACAACATGGACGGACAACACCTGGGATCTTATTACAAATGCGGATTCTCAGACCCAGGCTCAGACCTACAGCTTCAGGATCCGCACTTTTAACATGATCCTGACGTGATTCTTACAGAGTATTCCGCTGGTTAGCTTAATGAAGAGGGCAATCTGGCCCCAAAGCCACATAAATGCGAATATGACTGCTTTAGGTAACTGCTTTCCGAAAAAGAAACGTGAAGGGGAAGAAAGGTGGCAGCGAAGGAGTACTAGATAAAGAAAAAGAAATTCCAGTTATAGGAACAAAAATAAGCAGGGGTGCGGAATCCAACCTGGGAGAGTAAGTAGAAAGGATCTTTCAGACCTTTGCCTCCATAAACGTGGCGGGATATGCAAACTAAGATATAACCTACAACCCAAACCTGCAAAGGGCCAGGAAATCGTCCGTCAAATCTAGTCTTACCCGCCCCTCAGCGGCCTCAGTTAAGCTAGGCCGGGACAAGAGCGGGTCTCAGGTTGGGGTGCAACGCCAACCACCCTCCTCCCTGGGACCGGACGGTTCCGTGATGCGTCTCCCAATCTTTCGCCCAAACTCCTGTTGCCCAAGAAACACAACGCATCTCCCCGGGCTCACCTGCCTCTGAGCGGCCCCAACGGCTTGAGCCTTCGCCACAGCCACCTTCGCGTCCTTCCGCAGAGAACCCGCCCCCTCAGCCCAGGCGCTGCCCCCATTGGTCAGGCCGCTCGTCAGTCCGTGGGGCGGGGTCGGCCTCCGGGAGGCTGTGGAGAAGGCCATAGCAACCGACCTCCGAACTACTCCTCCCGGCATGCTCCGCTCGGGGAGAGACTAAGCACCGCCCCAGGGGCGACCGACAAATGGGGCGAAGTTGGAGTCGCCGAGGATGGGTTCCGTTTTATGCAGATTTCAGCTAAAGGCCACACCCTTCCTCATTCCAACCGAATACCTTATCACCTTCTTTTTCGTCTCCACATTATTCTTTCCTTTAAAATTTTCCGTAACTAAGTTAGGTGAATGTATCCTATCTAGTGCCTCGCATGGCAACGGGCAGATGCACCGAAATTGTAGAACAAAATCATCAAAATCCACGATAAAGAAACCCCAGACCAGAAACCTACTGTTACGCCTCATAGGGGGTGGGTAAAAGGGGGGGAGAATTCTACTCCCGCCCCCTTCACGCCTTCTGATTGGCTTATTCGTCTGTCACTCTGTCCCTTGCGAGTTTTTGTCTCCCCCCCGCTTTCGTTCCGGCGGTGGGCGGGGCCAGCAGCAGGGGGCGGTGAGGAGGCGCAGACCCTTCCTTCCGATTGGGTGGCTGTTGTTCCCACCCACCGATGGGCGGAGACTGAGGGGAGATGGGGGCGGGGCGAGGTAGCGGAGGGAGATGAGGAGATAGGCGGGAGCGAGGGAGCGAGGGAGGGAGCGACGGAGGTAGAGAGGAGTGGAGGAGCCAGGGGAGGGAGCGAGCTTGGTTGCTCCGTAGTACGGCGGCTCGCGAGGCAGAATCCCGAGCGGGCCCGGGGACGGACGGAGAGGCGGGCGGGGATGGTGTGCGGGGCTGCGGCTCCTGCGTCCCTCCCCGCGGCGTGTGAGCTGCATTGATTTGTCCCTGGGGCGGCAGCGCGGACCCGCCCGGAGATGAGGTGAGGAGTGGGCTGGACGGCGGCGGCCTGGGCGCAGGAGGCGGCGGCGGCGGGGGTCGGCGCGGGGGTCGGCGCGATGGCCGCCCGGGGCGCCCGTCTCCCCCGGGCTTCAACCCCGCGCGGCGCGCGCGTGCCGGCGCGCCGCCTCGTCTTCCCCTCCTCCCGGGGGCGGCGGCGGGGCGGCCGGCTGCCGGCGCCGGGAGGCCGTGGGACGGGCTCGGGGCTGAACGGGCGTCTGCACCCCGGCCGGCCGCGCGGGCTCGCTCCCTCTCGAGGGGGCCTCCGGGGTCGGACGGCCGGGCCAGGGCTGACCTCGCCGCCCGAGAGTGGCGGGCCGGCCCCGCCTCGCCCGCCTCCCGGGAGCCCGAGCTCGCGGGGAGCGGCGGCGCGCCGCCCGCCTCTCCGCAGGCTGGAGCCCCGGCTCATCCCTTTTTCTCCCCTCTCGCGCGCCTGCAAAATCCCTGTCAGTGAAGGGCGGTCAATGCCGTTCGGCCCCGAGCGGTGCCGCCGGCCGCCCGTGATGGCATTTAGCAGACGGCGGCTCCCTCGCCCTGCGAGCGCGTCCGCGGGGTCTGCCGCTGCTCCTTCCCCGCTCCCACCGGCGCGCTCGCCCGGGTGCGCCCGGGGCACGGTCGCGGGCTCTCGCTGGAACGAGGGCGAGTACTCAGAATCCCCGAGAACAGGAAAGCAACGAGGAATAGGCTGCACCTTGCTCCACTTCTGTCGCGTTTGCATTAGGAGGCAACTTCGTAGATTACATCTCCTACGGGCAATCTTTTGTTGTGATTCTGGCTAAAAGGAGGCTTTTGCTTTTGAAGAAATAGATTAGCGGCTTTCCTGTTGCGTTGGAGGCTGGGGGGGTTTTTGATAGCCTCCTTCAATGTGAAAGTTTCCTTTAGAACTTTGTCATCGTCGGTGCTGTTCCGAAGGCAGCACCAACCTGAACGTTTCAGTACATGCGGACTCGGGCCAGATGCGTTTCTTTGTGCGTGTCTATTGGCATCCTTCTCGTGCCTGTTCCCGTGGCCAGAACGTACAGATAATAGAAACAGGGCCAATAAAAAGGATAGATAATAAAAGCAAATACCGTACAAACAAATGCATCTGGAAAATCTCAATTCTGTCAGCGGGGAGACAGTTTTACTAATCCCGTTGAACGGATGAAGAGAAAGGCACAGAGATCTGATGATTATGTGGTGGACCGGATGTGAGGGCAGGAACCAGCAGGCCAGCTGGTTTGCATGGTGCCACTCTAAACCCTCCAAATAGGAGGAGTGTATTTGTTGGGATACCTTTATTTTTAGATGACTTCAAGGTTGAGAGTTCAGAATCTTAAACACCCTTCGTGGTTATTGTTTCTTGTTTCTATTTGTCTGTCTCTGACAACAAAATATTATGTTTTTGTTATAATTTTTTTTACTAGTTTGCATGAAACATTTATGTCGTTTTAATGGGAGTTTGCTTATAACTAAAAACATTAAAAATATATGTATAGAAGAGAAATTCTTTCTGCAGGAGGGTTTGTGAAGAACCTCAGGATCTTTTAAATGATCTAAATTAAGAAATGAGGGACACTAATTTGGTGATGGTGTGAAAATTATTTTAAACACCGTCCAGTAAGGATCATTTCTGATAGTACAGTTAAAGAAATTGGAATTTCATTATCTCCGAATGTATCTCTCTGAAGCACTTTGGAGAATAAAAGAAAGAATGTATCTGTTGAAATTGCTGAGGCACGTGGCACCTTCACAAAACTCTATTATTATTCTGCCTGAGAGAGGAAATAAACAAATTTTTAATGTACTTTGGAACCCTGTGGATTGTTCAGATACTAAGCATTGTGAAATAGGGCATAAAACCAGTGGTAGCAAGAGTTCCATGAAGTGTTTGTCCCTCTTAGCATTTTTTTTTTTTTTTTTGCGGTTGACTCACAGTTTTCTTTTTCTTAATGTTTATCTCTCATATTGGTAGTAGAACTCTGCTTGAGTTTATCTTTTCCCAAAATGCCTAGATTGGGCCAAACTCTCAAAGCTGTAAGAGATTAAGGAGGAGGTGCTGGTGAATTCCTCTACTCTTACTCATCTTTTTAATTTGCTAAATTTAAGAGTTATGAAGAATTAATTACATGAAGGTTGGGTTTATATTATTCAATTCAAATTCCTCTGCCATAGAGATTTTTCCTTCTAAATGATCATTTTCTTGTGAATGGCTCCACTTACTGGTTGAGTTTCTCAGAGTCTGGACCTCCGATCACTTACATAAGCATTAACTGAGGTATTTGTTAAAAATACAAGGTTCTGTCACTTCACCTCAAAATCAAATAATTGGAGGTAGGGCCCTCAAATTGGTATTTTCAATAAGTTCTTCAGGAATTTCTCCTGCACAGGAAAATTGGAGAGCCACTGGCATTGTGCTTTTTCCCTGAGCATCTCCTGGGGCTAGCTCCTGAAGTGAATAGCTACTGTTTCTAGTGGCAGAGTAAGTTTTATACCTTAGGCTGCTAATTAAAAACTATTGGCTGTGACCTTCAGATATGTAATTGTACTCCTAATATGTTTGGGAAGTGCAGAGACTTTGGTTTAGCAATTTATCCCCAGTGCCTAAAATAGTGCCTGGAGGAAATTGATAAAATGTTGAGTGATTGTATTGAGGCCAATTTTTTAAACCTTTACTTGTCCAATTAATCTTATCACTTAGTAGTCACTGATTTTATAAATTAAGAGCCACAGGCTCTATACCTCAGCCACTTCTGTAAATTTGGTTAGTTTTGGAAGGAAAGAGCCTTTCTCAGGCATAGCATGCTCAAGGTGATAAACTGGAAAGAAGACTCCTATCAAAATATTTGCTTAGAGACTCAAAATACAGATTTAAATCACAGTATAGTGGTAAATCATTTTATTATCATTATATCAAAATACGATTTTATAAGCTATGATAAGCCCAAAATACTGCTATAAAAATTGGTTTCTAAAAATATAGAAAATTGCCGGGCGTGGTGGCTCACGCCTGTAATCCTAGCACTCTGGGAGGCCGAGGCGGGCGGATTGCTCAAGGTCAGGAGTTCGAAACCAGCCTGAGCGAGACCCCGTCTCTACCAAAAATAGAAATAAATTAATTGACCAACTAAAAATATATATACAAAAAAAATTAGCCGGGCATGGTGGTGCATGCCTGTAGTCCCAGCTACTCGGGAGGCTGAGGCAGGAGGATCGCTGAGCCCCGGAGATTGAGGTTGCTGTGAGCCAGGCTGACGCCACCGCACTCACTCTAGCCTGGGCAACAAAGTGAGACTCTGTCTAAAAATAAATAAATAAATAAATAAAAATAAAAATATAGAAAATTGATATATTTTCCAATTTCATTTTTCATGTTAATAAAATTTGACCTTCACTTCCTTTTTTCAAGAGTCCACCACAGGGTACCATAAATAACAGGTTCTTATTATGTAGTTAACAGTGCTGGAGCATAAACTCCAGCTAAGAGCATAAACTCTGGAGAAAGTTGGATTTGACCACATATAGTCTGTGAGTTTGATCTATCTTCTCAATGCCTTAGTTTTCTCAGTTGGAAATGGGAATAATGATAGTAGATAAAATTTAAATACTTATAAGTGCTTTCATCAGTTTTTGAGACACATCTATTTAGTAAATGGTGGTTATGATGATGATAATGAATTGGGATGTATAAAAATCTATAAAACTCAAAGGCTAAAATAAACCATTTAATTTTTGAACCATTATATATATATATATATATATATTTTTTTTTTTTTTTTTTTTTGAGACAGAGTCTCGCTTTGTTGCCCAGGCTAGAATGAGTGCATGGCATCAGCCTAGCTCCCAGCAACCTCAAAACTCCTGGGCTCAAGCAATCCTTCTGCCTCAGCCTCCCAAGTGGCTGGGACTACAGGCATGCGCCACCATGCCCGGCTAATTTTTCTATATATATTATTGGCCAATTAATTTCTTTCTATTTATAGTAGAGACGGGGTCTCACTCTTGCTCAGGCTGGTTTCTAACTCCTGACCTCGAGCAATCCGTCCGCCTCGGCCTCCCAGATAGCTAGGATTACAGGCGTGAGCCACCTCGCCCGGCCTGAACCATTATATTTTATGGTAGTAAGTAGACATCTATTACTTAAAAAAGAAATCTCTTACTAATTTCTTGTACTAAGTTTGTATAATTTTTTAAATTGGATAATTAGATTGAACAGTAAAAGTAATAAATTACCAAATATGTAAATATAAGTTTTAAAAATAAAGATAAATCTTGCAATCACTTTTTGCTTAACTTTATTATTTTAGAATCAATCAGATAATCAGTTTATGATGATCCGTTAATATCTCTTGCGTTGGAAAAACTAACTGCATGTTTATGGTGGAAAAATTTAAATACAGAAAAGTAGAAAGCTATAAAATACCTGTAAGTCTACTACCTACATATATATCTCTAAACCTTTTTTGTGTGTGTATGTGCATGTAGCTCTTGATACA